ATTCGTTTGTTAAGTAATAAATTAATCTATATTAGATTTGTATTAGATTCAAAATTTAAAAAAAAAATGCTAAGGTTAAGAGAAGAGATTGGTGGATAATTTTACTCAAAATAAACAAGGATATTTTGGTAATTTTACAAAGACAAAAAGTGGAAGGGGTCACAAATTAGAACCACAAATTAGTTTTTTTTTTTTATAAATTGGTCAAAAATCCAGATGGGTTATATAATGGGGTTAGAAACCCCAATTTCCTAGAAAAAATGCATATAAGAAAAGTAAAATAAAATTATTACAAGTAAAGTTCTTAGTTTTTATTTCCTTTCTAAAATAAAATTTGGAAGAAACCATTAAACATTTCATCATTAAATAGAAGTGGAATAATTTACGATACAAATTTGTATCTAAAAAAGGAGTTTAATCTAAAAAAGAATTAAATTCAAACTTTTAATATCATAAATTTAAATTGAAATTAAGTGCCACTCATAAATGGTAATTTAATTTTCACTTAAAATCAATTAAAGCAAATTTTATTTAGACACAAATCTTCTTCTCTCTCTTTTCTTCCCCCTTTTCTGTCTCATTTCTTACTCCTTTTCTCCTTCTTCACATTACATACTCCCTCCTTGTAAACCTCCACATATTTAGTTCAAATAAATAAAACTTTAAAAGATAAAAGTACTTTCTCAATTATTGATCATTACGTGCAATACAATTTACCGTTGAATCACTTTTTATAATTATTATACTTGGAGACAATTAGCACAAAATAAATATGTATATTAAATATAACAGTAGATTAAAGATTTTATAAAAGAAAATAGTATAACTTAAATTAAAGTAATTAAAAATATGCTAAAAATATGTTGAACTTATACTTTATTTGAAAAAAAAAAAATATTGTAACTTAAAAAAAAAAGTACACATTGTTGTGTAATTTCTCTTATACATCTTGTTCATTTTTTTCGAATACATTTTTACGGAAGAAAAAAGGTCAGGAAAAGTTACAATGGAAGGTCGTTATCCTCCTAGATTTTGTGTTTAAAATCAAAATGGTTTAATTGCTTTTAAAAGTATATTAATAATGATTTAATTAGTTTTGTTTCTACCTAACCAATAAAAAAAGATATATATAGTGCTGATAAATGTATGTAGTTTGTTTCTCCAATTATATAATTAATACCACGAGATATAATTCTAATCACCAAAGATTCTTAAATATTGTTAATTTAAGTATACTTATAGTAGATAAGACACTTATTACTGTTTCAATGGTCGATGATGGGATACTCCATTTTTTGCCATGGTTGAATTAAAGAGATGTTAAATATGATCCAAATATCAAATTTAGTGGTATATTCGTAATCATCTATACATTAATTCAATAGACCAAGTCCAATTGTATTAATGATGAGCTCTCCCTTTTATGATTAGGATGCTAGATTTTCTTGAATCTTACCAATAATTTAAATGAAAAAGGGGAAGATGGGAGAGAGAACTTTTATCTCTATTTTTAATTTTATGGACAAAAATACATTTTTCCTCTCCGACTCCAAGTTAATGAGAATAGAGCAAGAGTTGAAAAGCTATTTCAATCCTTACTATGTCCAGTTTGACAATATTTTTAAAAATTAAAATTTAAATACTACTTCACCCTCCTTARATTCAAACTCGAATCAAACCTAAGCCTATAGTATTTTGGATCAAATTGTCCCACCCATTATTGTCCTAAAATGAGAGTAACTATAGACTTCCACACCTCAATAAAATTCCAAAAACATAACTTAGACCTTAATTCTATAGTCAAATTTGAAGCACAACCATCGTACCAACAAATTTTCTCTAAAATGTCTAAAAAGAACTCCCAAAAATAAATAAGTACCATGAATCTCAATAGTGAGACTTAATTGTGGTATTAAATATTCATTGACACGTCGACATATCCATTGATATTTCTATATATCCATGAGTTCGACATAGACACGAGGAATAAATCAACATTTCTATCAGATTATAAAAAAAAATCGATAAAATATGAAAAATATCAACAAAACGTCACAAATATATACATAATATTAATATTTTAATTTATTTATAAATAGAAAAATATTTATTCGTTAATTAATTAACATTCTTTTAAAGATTTTTTAATATTTCTAACATTAAAATTAATCCAAATCCATATTTTATCGATCGATATTTTAAAAAATTGAGAACTTCGACAAATTTGCAAATTTCTCGATAGCTCGCTCGTCGCTTGGCCGGCACGACACGGCAAAGGAATAATTTTTCTCTCGCAGAATGTTCAAAATCGCCTTTCAAATCGAGTTTCTAAAGAACTTCAAGTGGGACCGAACGTGGAAGAAGAGAACCAAGTAATTCTGAAAAAAAACCCTTTTCCAATTGACGTATTTGCGTGTATTTTGATTATGATAATGCCGAAGACCTACCTTCGCCATCTCCTCTGAAATTTTCCTCTTTCTGTCTCTTTCTGATCTGTTTTCTCGCTACTCGAACGCGTTGATTTCAACAATGGGGTTACTGTTTTGAGTAATCTAAGTCTTCCATCAAGTCTTTGTGTTGACTGAGTGTATGAAGCATCCCGTTTCCCACCATTCTTAACACAACACCCCTTTCCTTCAATCCCACTCTCAAAAAAGTCTTCCAATTCGACTTTCTTGATGATGGGTTCCCACTAACTGGAGAATTGCATTTTTTTCCCTAGACTTTCCCCCCCATTGGAGCTCCTTTCCTCTCTGCGTTCTTTTTTTTTTTTTGTTCTTCTTCACTTTCTAGATGGAGAAAGTGATTCGGTTATGTCGATTCTTTGATCGTTTTTTCTGTTTTGATTGATTGGTTGTACTCGATGGGCGTTGGTTGTGATTGTTAGAACTTAGAATCATTGGGGCTCTGTGTTTGACTTGTGTCATTTTTTCCGGCGAGATATGGCGGGGCTTCTGAAAAAGTTTTATCACGGGAAGCCCTCTTCTCCGGTTGAGGAAGAGGAATTTAGCACTGAATATTCTTTTGCAACCGAGTATAAAGGTCCTGCAATAAGTTTTGAGATTCCTCGTGCAGTTCCAATCAAAATCGATTATATTCCAACTGCTGCTATAGTTGTTTCGTCGTCTCAGTTTAATGATGATGTATCATCTCTGCCTGTGATACAACCCATCGTTAAGAAATCAAACTGGGGCTCAAGCTCGAGCCCTAAATCGATAGTTTCTTCAACCTTGAAAATCCAGGAAGATGAGCCTGCTTGCCCTGATACTAATAAGAAAGATAATGGGGAAGATGAATGTAATATGAAGTCGTGCGATGGAATTGAAAGTTCTGGTGAGCTTGAGAATTTCAATAGGCTAAAGGGAGGATTAGAAAGCGGGTTAGAATCACAGGAAATTAAGAATGAAGAGGATTTTCAGGGTTACACAAATTCTAGCTATTCGGAATCGCCAGAATCGGGTTTGAGTTCGTCTTCAGAGATTTTTGCTGTAAGAGAGGAGGAAGAAATTGAAAATGAAACTCAGCCTAGGCATGTCAAAAGGCCTTCAGCTGTTACCTTTCTCGATCCCCATTCGAGCAACATGGTTTCTGAAGAAGCAGAATCAAGTCAATTTGAGGCTGAAAGTATCCAAGAGATGCCAAGAGCTGAAAGGAAAGGGAAGAAAGGATCCTGCTATTACTGCCTTAAGGGGAACCGTTTCACTGAAAAGGAAATGTGTATTGTTTGTGGAGCCAAATATTGTTTTAACTGTGTGATAAGAGCAATGGGGTCAATGCCAGAAGGAAGAAAGTGTCTGACTTGTATTGGGTTCAGGATCGATGAAACAAAAAGAGAGAACCTGGGTAAGTGCTCTAAAGTGCTCAAGAGGTTGCTAACTGACTCAGAAGTTAAGAGCACGATGGAGCGTGAGAAAGAGTGTGAAGTAAATCAGCTACCTGCAAGACTTGTTTATGTTAATGACTCTCCTTTAAGTCGAGAGGAGCTGCTTACATTGCGGAGTTGCCAAAAGCCACCGAAGAATTTAAAACCAGGAAGATTTTGGTATGACAAAGAATCGGGCTTCTGGGGAAAGGTCCTTTCTCTTTGATTGATTGATTTTATCTATTTTATCTGTTCGGCTGGGTAAATGAAGTGATTTACACCATGAGAAGCTTCTTACTCTGTTTTTTAACCAAACAGGAAGGGTGTGGGCCGAGCCAGATAGTCAGCTCGCAGCTAGAAGTCGGGGGCCGCATCAGAAGAAACGCTAGCAATGGCAACACAAATGTGTGCATTAATAACCGAGAGATCACTAAAAAAGAGCTCCGGATACTGAAGGTGGATCATAGACTCAGTGTGCAGATTTAGTTTAGATTTATTGTATCATACAGATAACACTAATGGGATCATGTGCTTGCAGATGGCAGGAGTACCTTGTGAAGGAAGACCTTCTTTTTGGGTTAGTGCAGATGGAACATATCAGGAAGAGGGAATGAACAACGGGGGGAAAATATGGGACAAGGTAAACTTGATTCGATAGTGTTTGGTTTTTTTCCTGCCCTATCTTATTCATCAAACTTGCAATAATAATAGATGAACTTTTCTCTACAGAAAAGAACGAAGCTAGCATGTGCTCTCTTTTCTTTGCCTATCCCTTGTAATTCTGTTTCTTCTGGAGAGGATTCGGTGAAAAATGGTACTCGAGTTTGCTCCCAGAAGAAAACGCTTCATAAACTTCTACTTGTTGGCTATGAAAAGTCTGGCACAAGTACCATATTCAAGCAGGTAATGTCAGTAGTAACAGGCGACTGCATAACATGCTTCATAAACTTCCAAGTCATGATTATGTTTGACATTCTTGTTATCTATGGTGTTAATCTTGATTTTAGACTTTCCTTTTTGTTGGATTGGTGTTTTGGTTAATAGTTTCTAGTCATTAAATAAGTTAATTGCTTTCCCTGAAAAATATATCGATATTGAAATGCTTATCATACATACTTTCTGATCAGTATTACCTTTTCATTTAAGGCCAAGCAAATATATAGAGTTCCATTCTCTGATGATGAGCGCCAAACCATTAAGTTCATGATTCAAAGGAATCTGTACTGGTATCTTGCGATACTGCTGGAAGGACGCGAACGTTTTGAAGAAGAGTTTTTGCTGGGCGAGGAGAATAAACCACCAGTGAACGATCCGTCCACCTCATCAGCATCAGGTATGTTGTAATTCAATTTTCAGATAGTTTTCCCTAATAATATGAATCATGTTAATAGAATAGTTCTACAGTGATATCCTAACTACATAAGTCAGACAATTTGTGAATAGGGTATGAAATTATTCAGTGGTAACAGGGAATGAAGATCAGTTAACCCGTAAAACGGCCTATTCGCTTGGTGTGAAGCTCAAAGGTTTTGCCGATTGGCTACTTCAAGTCGTGGTTTCGGGTAACTTCGAAACCGTATTTCCGGCTGCTACTCGTGTGTATGCTCAATTAGTGGAAGAGTTATTGAAGGATGATGCCTTTCAAGCTGCATACAGTCGAAGGAATGAACTTGAAATGCTACCAAGAGTTGCTACTTATTTCCTTGATCGGGTGAGTTTACAAATTTTTGCTCATCATTGTTCAATTCTAAGTTATAAACCTCCTGCAGAATTTTATGTTTTATGTTTCTTTTTTGTTTCATTGGTTAAATGATTAGTTTTAGTTGTGTTCTATAAATTTTAACGCTTATACCACCAAATGGCGCTAGCCCAACATCAATCCATTAGTAATCCTTAAATAATATTGTTAGCGTGCCACATAAGTGTTAAAAACTTACATATTTAACAATAAAAATTTATTAGACACAACCGAAAATATAGAGATCAAATAGGCACAAATTGTTTGAGAACACGTTAAAAACTTTTTAAAATACAGTCTCTAAATAGAGACAATTTTGGAAGTTCAAGGATTAAACGTATAATTTAACTTTTTTTTTTTACCATAAATTTCTCAAACTCTTACGGTTATTTGGTTCTTGCCATAAAGGTCTCCATCTCTTTGGTTTATGAATGATTTATTAGTTCTAAAGCTCGAGGATGTGGAGGTTTGTTCCTTGTTAGGGGAAGGAGTTCAGAAGGCATTCTCCCCTTGTTGCTTAGGCTCGTTGAGAACCATTTTATATTCGATTTTCTATTTTTGAAAATTAAGCTTATAAACACTATTTTAAAAACAGAAGTTTATTAGATCTTTTAAGCAATGAATTTTCCCTTGAAATCTTGCTTGTGAATAATGGACTAGATCATGGTCATCATATTCAACGAAGTACCATTCTTTATCGATGCAGGCGGTCGACATTTCGAGTATGGATTATGACCCTTCCGACAATGACATCTTGTATGCCGAAGGAATTTCCTCATGTAACAACCTCAGTAACATGGAGTTCTCGTTTCCCGAGTCACGACAAGATGCCCTTCTCGACCCTCCTTATCAGCACGATTCGTCAATAAGGTACCAGCTGATTCGAGTTCATCCCAGTAGCCTTGGAGAAAACTGCAAATGGCTGGAAATGTTTGAAGACATGAGCATCATCCTATTCTGCGTCGCATTGACAGATTACGACGAATTCTACGAAGACGATAGCGGGATTCTAGTAAACCGGATGATGGCGAGCAAACAACTCTTCGAAACCATTGTGATGCATCCAGCCTCGAGAGGGAAGAACTTCCTTCTCATACTCAACAAGTTCGATCTCTTCGAAGAAAAAATCATCCGAGTTCCTCTCTCTCAATGTGAGTGGTTCGACAACTTCAATCCAATGATCACCCCAAACTCAAGCGGAAGAAGTAGCAGCAGCACGAACCCGACGCTGGCACAACGGGCGTTTCAGTACATTGCGGTGAAATTCAAGAGATTGTTTTGTTCGTTGACAGAAAAGAAGTTGTTTGTTTCACAAACTACAGGGATGGAGCCTGAAAATGTGAATTCAGCTCTGAGATATGCAAGGGAGATCATAAAATGGGAAGTGGAGAAACCTATGATCAGCATTACTGAAATTTCAAGTACCAGTGCTGATGCAAGCAGCTTCACATAGGGATCAAATTTAGATGATGCATTGTACATTTAATTGATTATTTCTCATAGAATCGGCATAGTACAAATAATAGTGCAATGTAAATTCTTCATACTGTTATGGAATAAAGCTAAAGAATTAATTAAGATTACAGATTTTTGTAACATATCATACTTTTAATATATATATGTTAATTTTGTTTTTGGTTTAAAATTTATAGTTTTTCACTTTTAGAGTTATTTTAGTTTGGTTTATCAACCTTTAAGATGTCTATTTTTATCTTAATTGAAAAAAAATCTTGTTTTAGTGTTTGCTTTTATTCTATGTCAATTACTAGCATATAAGTGATGTTAAATATACTCTGTTGAGTAGAGTATTAGATTTTAAATATGGCTGGATTGTAACTTGATAAAAAAAAAAAAGAAAATTTAAAGTTTCCTAAATTTCCCTACAAAATACATTTTCAATAGATAAAAAATAAAAAACATAATTAGTTACCGAAACAACAATGTTAATAAATGAGCCTTTAAATTGATATCCACCCAGACAATTTAATCGTTTGACCAAAAATAATATTAGCATCGTAATATCAAATTATTAACTTGATAATACTTTGTAAAAAAAAAAAAACTTGTGATAATATGTATTTTATCCATTAAACTATGTTTGAATTGTTATATTTAAATTTTAAGAAATTTATTTATTAATCAATCGACGATAATTATTGTATTAAAAAGTCGAGAACTGAAATAAACAAGTTTTTAACCTTCTTTTTAATAAATTGAAAAATGACACCGAGTAGGCAGAGTTTGCAGTCTCGAATTAGAACTTGACTCGTGTCATTAAACTGACACGTAGCACTTTCACGACCGTGATCGGCACCGGCCGACAGTAAATTTGGACGGATGACGTGGCATGTACAGCATATAACCCAGTGAGAGCAGTACACGTGTCAATCATCTAACGAGCAGCTTCAGATTTTTTTCATCACGAAACTGTAGGCGCAGCGTGTGGAACTGGATTACTGGACCTTTTTTCTTTCTTTTTTATTATTATTATTATTATTATTATTTTTTCAGATTTAGAAATTTAGTTTAACCTTCATCAGATTTAATCCAGCTTTAAGTTTATTCAAATTCTAAACACACATGTAGTTGAAAACATTTTAAAAACAATACAAATCTTATAATAATTAATTTTAGCTGCTCAAAATATGCCAGCTTTATTTTTTTGAAAAATATAAAAAGTAAGTTTCTTGAAATATAGTCATGAGAAAGTGAAGATCCCCCGGCCCCGGCGGCGCCGCCGCTTTGATCATCCATTTACGCCGCTAATATTCTGAAGGAATTAAAATTACAGAGAGAAACAGGGCCAGAGTGAGAGGTCCGATCACAAGGGAGCAAAGCGATCCATTAGCAAACAGACAGTGGATTCGGACATGGTAGATTCTGCGTGGTCGGAATCTGCTTCCGGCGATATCTGGTTTTGAGGCTGCTCCCGATTCCCCTGTTTGGATTTGGGGAAGATTAATGGGTTGTTGTTCTTCGTCTTCCCTTGAGCTTGAGCTTGAACTCTGTCCTTCCACTTCCCCAGCTCGCTCATCCATGTCTCCACCATTGCTGACATTTTTGAAGCTCTTTTTTTTTTTTCTTGATTTTGCAGTGGGATTGAAGGGGAGGGTCGAGGGGGGCTTATATAGGGGAGGTAAAGCACACAGAATTTGCATTTGTGTAGGAATATTCTACAGAGAGAGAAAAAGAATTTGTGGCGTGTGGGGACTCCCATTTTTGTATTATTTGGGAGTGATTTATTGGAGGGGTTGGGAGGAAGATGATAAGGATGGTGACGTGGAAATTTTTTGAATGGGGCCGCTCTTGGATACCGGTTTGAAATTAATAATTTGGTCGACTTGGTTCGTGACAATGAAGATAATTGTCTTTGTATATAAATCATCGACCATTCCCTTATCTAATGTGAGACTTTGTTTCTCTCGAACAAAATACTACCGAACTTCCTTTTAAGTAGTCAACATCTATCTACTCGGTCAAAACCAGAATTTGTTCTTATTCAAGGTTTCCCGCACTTTGATAGATGTTTTGATGTTTCGATTAAATCTCTAGTTTGAGCTTAATTAATTTTAATATGGTGTCTATGATGATTTGGTCGAACCTCATCTCACAAGTTGTTTAGTTCATGAACTCTTTAATACAATCAACTAGTCATTTAAATAAAAAAAAATTGCAGCACGACTTTTAATTTTTTGTTAATTTAGTAACAATAGGAATGGATTTAATGTAGCAACAATAGGGATGATTTAGGAAGTTTGATGGAATACCAAAGGATCAAATTTGAAATTTAACTTAATGATGTGTGTTCTAAATATATGTTAACTAATGATCTAGAATTATTGACAATTCCTCCAATAATTATTTTTGGGGTGACGTGGATGTGTGGTGGGATCCATGACTTTAATAAAATACTTGAAATGTTGTTACATAAAGCTTGAATTATGAGAGGCAAATGAATAGATGAGGATTATGATTTTCTTTTCTTTTCTTTTTTTTTTTTTCCATTGATTTGATATTGATGGCGGTTTGGACTTTCATGGTTGATATTATTCTCTCAAAAAGGAAAAGACGTGTATTTTGAACTTTAAATATCTTCGAAATTTAAAATCGAATGAGATATTTATATGAATGTAAAGATCTTAAATTAAGAATTATAAATTAAGTAATTAAGGAAAATAACAAGTTAGAACGTTGTGTATGAAAACCTCATCCAAGTCTCAATTTTTCCCTATATCACTACGAGGACGTTATTATGAATAATTATTGTGAGAGAGAAGGTCTTAATATTTGATTTATCAACAATATCAATAAAATAGTCACTGGCCAACAAAATACATCTCTATAGAAATACATACTTTTAGCACACCAAGGTTTTAGTGGTAAGCAATTATGATACTTAAATACTAAGTATTAGAACATTTAAATAATTATAGATTTAAAATTATGAATCACATTAGATTAATTATTTTGAAATAATTGACTAATGAGAACAATAAATAAATATATGTAGTGCATCACATAAATATATAAATAGAAAACAACGAAAAACAAAATAAGATTAATTAATTAGATCACACAATCCCATAGAATCAAAATTTGGACTCTGTTTCAAATGAATTTGTAAAAATTTTCAATAGAGATAAAAACCTTGGGAGAAAAAAGAGAATTATAAAATAAGGAAGGATGAGGTAGTTAAAAATTCATTCTACTCTTTCCATTGAAACAATATAATTTAGTCTTTAAACTTATTTAAAACTTGCAGCAATTTAGTTTCTATCATAAAAAATCTCATTAAAATTAAGCATCAACTTTTATTTGTAATTTATAAACTGATTTGGTGACCTCATCCATTTATCGATCACATAATAAGAAATTAGCAAAAATTTGATTGGGGCTAAATCGTTATAGAGATTAAATTGTGCTAAAATACAGGGATTAAATAAACAAGTTTATGGACTAAATTGTTAATTCAATGAAAGTACAGAGATGAAAAGTATATTTTAACAAAAAAATTCAATTTGTATAACCTAAAATATGCTTCTAATTAATTAACACATTTAAAAATTTTCTATTATATATGTTTTGTATAATGTTCAAAATGAGTGATAATAGGAGAAAAATAATTGAAACTGAATTCCACTGTGGCCTTGCCAACGAGTAAAGGGAAAACAATATGAGCTGATTCCCACAATTAGAGCATATTCTAATAGAAGATGCCAAAGTTTCCGAACACCTCTAATGAAAAATAAAATTAACAAAATACTAAAAACAATAATATAATAATTATAATAAAAATTATAATTTTGGAGGGCAAAATCTAACCTGGACCAACCAAAAATAGATCGGGGATGTATAGTTCAACCTATATAGACCAAGTACAAAGTCTGAATTACTAAAGAGGCCAATCCATGTAGTTCAAGAAGAACTTAAAGATTGTCTTTAGAATGTCATGCTTCCGACCTTCGTTGAATCCGACCTATCGAGACGTAATCACCTACAACCGAACGAATGTAATAGGATATAGCCTCCTCTCATTCGCCAGTAGAAGGACTCTCCCTCTTTACATTCAGATATACAATCATATTTGAGAGATTGACCTACTTTAGCTCAAATGTAGACTAACTTGAACTTCAGAGTGATTGTTCTTTTGTTTGAGTAATCCCTTCGCATATAGTTCGCTCTACTTAATCTCGTCCAAGTCCAAGTGAGAAGAGGTCAATCTTCTTACGTCAGYCGAATTTAGCATAAATATAAGATGCMTTTTATATGCTAAACATAAAAAATAAATGAATAAAGAGAATAAACAACATACCTTACAAATGAAAGGGAAAACAAAAAAAGACCACATACTAAAATTGGTGGCACAAAGCAACAAATATAAAAAGGGGAAATAAATTCAAATTAGATGGAAATGGAAATGAGGTCGACAAATAAGGAACCTTCGTAGCAGAAGAGTTTTAAAGGACCACAAATACATTSGAAGAATGACCWATTCTATTGGTTCACATYTATGTATTAAATTTTCATCGATATATCKATATTTTCATTTATATTTTTATATATATAGATTCGATATCGACATAAAAGAGATGAATAACAAATATCAAAAATATCAAAACATCAATAATGTAGATGTAATATTAACTATAAGAACTTTTAACTTATTTGAAAATGTGAATGGCGTATTTGTTAATTTTGAATATTTTTTATTTCTATTATTTTTCCATCAACATCAATATTTTATCCATACCATAAAAGTCGCCATTTGTATTTATATAAATTATTTTAAATTTTGTTCACACAGTCATGTATTTTTATTTATAAATAACTATTTAATTTTAATGAGCATCATTTTTTTCAAATAATATTGCCGTGACTTATAATAAACTGGGGCAATATTCATATTTTCGTACTACTAAAAATTTTCCATGGAAAGTAGGAAAATTCCCTCTTTTATTGCTGGGTTGTATATGGTTTGAACCTACCATATGAAAATAATGATGATAATAATAAATCAAATATATATTTTTTTAAATTTGAAATAGTTTAGGAAAATTAAAAACAAATTGGTTTCAAAACCATTGGAAATTTACCATAATCATTTTAAGAGAATAGATTTTAGATGAGTGTGTGTGTATATATGTTTGTAATATATATAATATACACATGTATATATATTGTAATCACGGCTATCTATATGTACTAAAAATTAGTTTCCATTGTCAAAACAAGTATAGCTAAGTGATAATTTAAGTTGGTTCTCACGATTCTAAAAGTTTCGTTATATTTTGTTGAATCTTCTGAGGTGTTCCAACCGTGACAAATAATAATAAGACAATTCAACCTTCAAAAATGRCTATCCTCGACTTGCCCTTGTGGACCACTTGGAGTTCAATAGCAATCATGGCTTCAGATTGAACAAATATTTTCATATTCAACCCCTATTATACTTGTTATTTCAAGTTTATCCTCTCCTATTTTTATTTTACATTTTTGCCCTTTCAAAATTTTAATTTTATTCTTAATACTTTATCTATCTGTTCGTCAAAATCGTACTTTATAAATAAGTCTCAACAAAATGCGTATGTAAGTTACTCATGTCCTCAAACGTGTTAAAATTAACTTAATTTAATTGAAATTTGTATATGTACCAACTTTCATCCACGTAAATTCAAAACTAATTTTATATATTGAGATTGGAGAAAATATTTAATTTCTTAAATTGTGTGTAAATACATTAGAAAATAAAAGTAAATACAAAAATTATTGTAGCTTGAAGAACAAGATTTCTAGAAATTTTACCTTTGAAATGATTATTAAAAGAATTGGCCATTTATTATATAAACATTAAATAAATATTGTATAATCAAAACCATGGYAAATTCCTTTCTCTACAATAAATTTCGTAACTATTGTTTTTTTTTCTAATTATTTTTTATGAGATAGAATTAGATGATAAATCAATATAATATTTTCAAGATAAATTTGACAAATTCTTTGATTTCTTGAATTCATATACTACTTTCACACTAAGAAAATCTTCTTTGGCAATTAAAATATTCACAATGTTAATTTAATAAGAAATGTTGAGAGGTTGCAAAATTTAGACCGTATGGAACAGTTTTTTCACAACTATAGGTTAACATTATTTTAATCTCTATTTTTTAGTTAAAAGTTTTAAATAATTATTGCTATTTATTAATGATGTTAATCTGCATTGTTAAAATAACAAGTGATGACTCACGGACATAATAGTAAATCAATTAGACACAATTAAAATGGATTAACCAAAATATTTTATAAGACTTTTCCTTGGGGTTATTTTTGATAAAAGAATAGAATAGAAAAAAAAAGCCAAATATTATCCAATTTACTTAGAAATTTACGATAGAGTCAAATCTTATCCAATTTACTTGGAAGTTTACCATTAGGACAAATTATACTSTATCAATGARCTCATAAAATATTTTAAACCTGAATATTAGTTCAATTRGRTAAAGCATCTATCTTAAAATCGTGAGTTTGAATCTTCACTTGTTATATTAAAATAAATTACTAAAATAAATATATAACACGGTATTTGAAGGATTAAATTTAAAAGTGGAAATTGTAATCAATCAATTGTTTCATTTGTTATTCTCCTAACTTTCATGGACTCACGAAGCTAAGTCATCAATCATTTTCTTTATGAATTTTCCTAGTGTGCTTTCCTCTTTCAATGACGTCATTTTTTCCTGCTAAAATATTAACCCAAATCTATTAATAATTAGTATAAATTATAAGAATTGACGGATTACCTCCATTTCTTGYGACCRCCGTTAAAAAATTGACCGCTTTTTTATTTCCATAAAAAGGAGAAAAAAAAATCTCTTTTATGACTTCTTGTCTCTCATGTTTTTTATGGTCAACCAAAGAGTTGAATTTATAATTCTCTCTAAAAATTACTTTCCCAACCTAACCGAGTCATGAATTCGTGAGTTCGAATCTCGGATACTACGAAAAGAAAATTACATCATTCTCTCCCAAATCAAAACTCCACATTTTTCCCAGAATTACATTCGAAAAAGGAAGATTTTATTCAAATGAAAGAACTCAACAAAAATGTACAGTACAGTGATTGACTTTTTTTCTCTCTCTCTTTTTCTATGGACTCATGTACTCGATCATCATRGAAACAGAAGCTTCAGAACAGAGCCTCCCATGGGATTGGGAACCGATTCGCTTGACTCGGTCCCAAGCCCGGCGAGTTAACCCAGTGAAGTTCCATCTTCCTTGTTCAGCCGGAACAGGGCCGTCGGCCGCGGCGGCTGCGGTGGGGTCGGAGGGCCCATTTTGGCGGCGGAGGTCTACGAGGCYGGACATGGCGGAAACGAAAAGATTTAGAATTCAGAGTGATGAGATGAAAAAGAAGATTAGATTTTGCGATTTGGGAAGCAGAGGAAGATGGGGTTTTGAATTTATAAGGATCAAAATTTGGATCTGTGTGCTTCCAAAACTGTGGAATTTGGTGGGTTTTAGGCTTTAGCTTTGGGAATTGGGATTCCCTCAATCCCCATAGGAACAGACAAAACCATTTGCTTTTATGGGATCACTTCAAAACATCCTATCATTTGTGCTGTTTCTTTTGGTTGAATTTTGGAATTCTTTTTAAGTTTAAAACTTATCTGCTCATTTTGGGAGCATTGTTGAAGGTTACTTTTTTGTAATGCCCATGAGTAAACTAATTTCTTTTGAATTAAGAACCCTAATTGATGCATATTACTTGATGGAGGCTCAACCTCTCTTTCCTCTTATAGCAGGGATGAGTAAAAAACTCTAAAAAATTGAACCGATCGATAGAAATGGACCGAATCGACGCCTGTAGGTCGATCTGATGAAACTTTCAAGTGGAATCGGTTTTATAATCTACAAAACTAATTAGAAGTCGATCGGTCTAGTCAGAGTAATGATTTCCGACCAAACCTACCGACTTTTAATAGTTTATTAGAAAAGAGAATTAAGTAATAAGTCATCTTCTCGGTTAATTTTTTTTTCAAAATTCTTCTACCCCTCCATTGTTTTTCTTTATTTCTCCCACTTTCTTTTCTTTCTTTCATCAATTTTTTCTTCTTTCACTTTTGCTTCTTTCTTTTCCTTTCAAGCCTTCAACCTCTTATTGCACTCACATTAAGTCAATGACCATAGTAAGACACTTTGTTGTGTCTTTTTTCTTTTTTTCAATTCTTTTTTTCTTTTTGTTATTTCTTTAGTTCTTCTTCACGTTCTTCAGCATTTCTCTTTCTACTTTTTCTTCTATTTCAAAAAAAAAAATATATTATATATATATATATATTATTATTCTAAACTGAAAAGTCGACCTACCGAACCAATCGATAATTGATCGCGCAACAAAAGAAACGAAAATTTGTCTGATATGGTTGGATCGTTATCGGTTTTGGCCAAAAATCGATCCCGACCGACCAATGATCACTGCTATTTCATAGTGACATTTTTTATGTTGCGATGATCTCTTCTCATCTCCCACGGGAGAATGGGTAAGTGAAAAAGTAGTTGTCTAGTATTTTTTATCTTGATCCAAATATATACCATAAAATATAAGTTTAAATAAACTGAATTATTGCTACGTCAAATTTTCTCCTTTTCCTCTTGCTGGCGTAATAAGAAGAGATTAATTCTAATTGGGACCATCAATCAAGGACTTTGGAGCCATCTTGTTAGCTCTTTCAAAAACTTCTTGGTACGTAATAGTCAGAAACCTTGGAAGCCAAGTAAAATAAAATGACTTTTACTCAAATCATTTATTCTAAAAGCACTCCCAACCAACTTAAAAATGGTTTTATAATTATCTTCATCCACTGGATTTTCTCATACTTAAAAAAAAAAAAATAGTATTTCTCAAAATTTAGTAGCTTGGAGCAGCTATGGGGAAGCCCACGTATGGATAAGGTGATAGAAAGGATACTGTTGTTTGTCTGTGTGTTTACTTTGATATGGAAAAAACAGAAGCAATCATTTTGGATGGTCTCTCTCTTTGAAAAGCATTATGAAATAGCCTTAAATATCTTAAAATATCATAAGTATCATGGGGAGTGAAATTTGGGATAATTTGAACCAAAACCAATCAATAAACAATGAGGTTCAACTAAATCTCTTAAACAACTATAATATGGAACTGAGCAGTGTTGATTGAAATGATTTGCTAACATCACAAATCGCCCATCATCTCAACTAATCTTTGGAACATCGTCGAATGGTATGACTTCATGTGAAGCATAAAAGACTTTGACGATTTACAGTATGGTTTACATTTACATTCCAATTTTCACATGGAATGATAAATTATAATCTGTTTGAATGGGAGAAGAGATATTTGCCTACCTGACACAATAGTTAATTACATTATTCAATTTCCTACCTAAGGAATTCATTGCTGATACAGTTTCCAGAAACATTGTAATAAAAACCTCATGTAATGGCATGTTTCCAAGGACCAATACCCCTCAAAGCATCAACGTCCAAGATATCCTACGAATAACAGAGAATTCCTCAACGCATCAACGTTGCAGTATTGCCATTCTGTATAAAGTCTCAGATGCCAGATGGTGTAAAGGTTGGTCCCATTTTTAAGGAACTCCACAGCCTGAGAAGTATGCTGACTTTGGGGAATTCGCATAATTTTCCAATATTGCCTACCTCGGGCTAAGGCGGGGGTGGCATGTTGGAGTGTGCGGAATGTTGAACACACTTCAGGCAACCTCAATAGTTCAGGAGCACAACTCAAAGATAGAAATAAGGATCTTAAACCAGCTTGTCGAGCAATTAGCGGTCAATTTCTTGCCCATGTAAGACCAAGAAGCCCATGTGATTAAATGAAAAATTGTCTGTGGGGCATTACTGATGCAGCAACTGTCGCGTCCGGAATGGGTGTAACTTGCCCCATACCCCAGCATGTCCTTCAACCTTATGGATTAATGAACTTGGTGCCGATCTGAATCTTGAAGAACATCACTTATCCATCAGTACAGGTATCCAAGGTTCTCTGGGTCAAATTTCAAATCCATGGAGTCCAACCTTCATACATGTTGCAGAGATTGTCTACACTAGTTGCTTGTTTAAGTAGATAATCCACTTGCTCGGCAATGCTAAGTTCTCTGTCAGTTAAAAGGGATATTCATGTCAGAAACCCAGCATAAAGCCTGTCAATATTGCTTGAAGTAAAGGGCAGGTACCTGTTATCAGCACTGTCTAGACCATTGAGTTTCATCTCAACACGCCGTAAAACGGATATTGCATATGCATTTCTACCTGAGAAAACCAAACACAAGGCTTCAACTTTTGAAATGAAATATGTAATGCTTCATCAAACAGGAAGATGCAAATTCGGTATAGGAGAGTTTACAGGCCTCGCTAATAGCCTAGCATCCTATTATGATGATACCAAGCTCAAAACATCAACTACCTCCCGAGAGCAAGTACTCGAGGAGATAAGTTCTTGATGGTTCCGACCATTTTTTCCATTAAATTTATTTGTGCATTTCTTGTAGTGGTCACTATTTTCTTAAACAGTGGCCAAGTAGAATTGTTTTCGTAATCCATTGGCTTAAGGTTTTTGAAGTGTGTATTCTTCTATCTCTTCTTTGTAATTTCATTCATTCAATTAAATAGTTTTTGTTTCCTGGGGGTTCTTGATAGTTACTACTTATCGCAGCTACAATGATTACTTATTTTGACATCTATTTTTCATTTCAGGGGAGTTTAAGCATAATTTAGTTTTTGTAATTTGTTCAGGAAACTGACACAGCTTGGTGAGAATACTCTTGCTTCTTGAATTAGGGGTTTACTGTCAGGAAATTCAACTATGAAGCCTTTCAAGACTTCTGAGGGTTCCCTTATTTTTCAGACTGACTGATAAATAATTCTTTATGTTATAGATGATTGAAGAATAACTTCAATCAACATCCTGAAAGCACCTGTAACATAAATATCATTTAATGCAGCAGTGAAAACTAAAACAGGTGAAACAGGATTAAGAAATGTGACTTGAGTGGATGTACATGTTAATATAATGATAACAAATAAATTTTCCATAACCTTAAATTTGGGTTCATGATATTAGATCTTGTGTTCGAACTCCTACAGTGTCATTTCTTCTCCAATTAATATTGATAATCTCTTTTTAGGCGGAAAAATTTTCAGGTCCAGGGTGAGTGTTAAAATAGTTTAAGCTTTTGGGTTCAACAATAACTCAACAATACATTACTTACCTCTGTTTGCACGACTCCAAGCAGCCTTCTGAGCAGGAGGTACCTTGTGGTTTTCATCATCCAACCTCTTATCTAATGAGGATATACCACTTTCCTCCCCCAGCTTTTCACCAGTCTCAGTCAATGGATATGATGTGATAGCAGGAACTACAGTAGATTCATCAGATGATGAGGCAACAATTTTTACACCTCCATTCAACTCATTGGTTGATGACTTCCTAAAACAGGTTTCATCGCCATCCGTATATTTTGATTCGGACTCTTCTAAACGTGAGATTTTTCCATTGTCAGTTTGAGAAAATGAGGCAATCTTCGGATAAGTCTTGTCTTCTCTGTTACTAGCACCATTCCAATGCTGTTCCATCTCTTCTGTTAGGTCATTGGAGCTGTCTGGAAAGCTACCAGAGGTAATGCCAGATCCAGAGCTACTACTGCAGAAACTATCAGGTGGGGATATCCATCCTTTATCTTGCAAAGAAAGTCCAGTAACATCAGGGATACCTTCGCTGCTCCCACTAACAGACAAGGAGAAGCTTTCTGTCTCCTTTTCAAAGTCAGCTGCATCCCCATCACTATTGAACTCAGACCTACTCACGCCAATTCCCTCCGACTTTATTTCCTGGCTTTCTCCAAGTCCTTCAAGAGCCTGAAAAAGAGAGTTCACATCCCCACCATTGTTAGAAGTATTGTTAGATGATTCATGAAATCAACAAGCTGAAACATAAACTCCATTCATACTTTATGAAGATTGCCAGCATGGAGACTTGCAGTTCGTGCAAGCCTGGTAAAAATGGAATACAGCCCCTTCACAGATAACGTAAGAGGAGGAACCAAGGGCTTAAACATCTGACAGGCCTCCCTAATTCTCAAACAATAGGACTGATATATAGCTTGTCCATGTATCGGTGATATTTCCATCTTGATCTCTCTTTCTCTTGCCATAGCATCAATTATGGCAGCAACATCCTTCGACAACATTGCCTCAAGGGGGAGGAGGACAGAATTTGCCTGCTTAAGGATTGAGACAATAAGTATACAAAGCTGTGATTTGCAAAATACCTTAAATCACATGAGCAATGCAATCAGGTGGCTAGATTGGGAGAGGTCACTCTATAACACTCTTACATCATAATCACCTAAATAAATAGACTGGGATTCAGTGGTGTGGTGTGAATGAAAGATCAAAATACCTTTGAAACGTCTTCAATAAGACGACAGTGAATTACAGCAGCCTCCTTTCCCAAATTATGAACATCATGCAGATCTTCAGTTATTGCCAGTACCTACAAGAAATATAGAAATATTAGCTGCAAAAAGCTTCAATTCTTTATTGGAGCGAGCCCCAAAGGAAGATTACGACCAATGATATATTGAAAAAGAGATTTCTCTGTCTTCTGCTTATCTCCTAAGCTTTATTGTTCATGTGGGTGCAAAGGAGAGGATGATGATCTTTTGATATTGTTTTGCCAAGTTACATACAACATATCTTAAAAAACAAAAAGACTATTCAGGTTTTACTAACTTGGAAAAAGAGAAAACGAAACACCTTCCAGTGTATTTTCATGATATATCATTTGGTGCAATTGGAAAGATAGAAATAACAGAGTTTTCAAAGATAAACATAAAGCTGAGAATATGTCTGTGTTTGACAAAGTATTCGTTAATTATCTTTAGAGTAGCTGTCATTCTTTTGATATTCAGTAATGTTCCTTTTTTTTTCACAAGGTCGATTATTATGTTGTAGGCATTATCTAGGTCGGTGTTTTAGGACTGCTGATTCTTTTTTTAATGAACATCCCGTTTACAACAAATCTAAACATTATGCTTCACAATCTCATCAAACCCAAAGCTTTGTAAAAATATTGAGTTACCTCTTCCAGCATGGAACCGCACTCAGAGGTCAAAGCAGTGTGGTTCCTTGAGACGCTACCAAATGCTGAGAGTGAAACACTTGCTTCATAGGCACAATCTCGCATACTGAGAAGAGTGCTTTGTAAATCACCTGCAAAGACAGAACCAATATGTTCATCTAGTAAAAGGTATTGGAAATATCATATAAGGATATTTTTAGTACGTAACCATATAAGATAAAAGCATATGAATGTCAAATGAGTAACACATGTAATGCATGTAATGGATATGCTTGCTTAGCTTAAATAATAAAAAGATGCACCACCTGAAGCTGACTTCACTTTAAGAGAGGCAATGCGAAGATTGTTGGTTGCAGAATATAATTCATTTGAAGCAGCCTCCATGCTTCGTTCTGCAAGCTTCCATTCTTGTTCAGTACCTAGTACAGGGCACAAAAAGTAAATAATACCTGAGAGACAAATCGTACAGACCAGCTTTATTTCAAAAATTTACATAAATTTGCTCTAGAACCAAATAGTGAAATGAGACAACATCAACATATGAGTGTAAGGCTTGCTCACGGGCAAAGGAGTGATAAGAAACATCCAACAGTGTTATAGCGTTCAAGTAAGCTTGCTGCCATGCCCTGCTATCACTGTCTGTACTATAAGCATGATCTCCTGGAAATTGAAGGATACCATCTCTTGATGCTTCAAATTCCAATATTGACAAGCAAATCTTAATAATATCTGATCCCTTTTCTCTAGTATCCCATAGCAACTGCCTCCGCCTCAAGATATGATCATGGAATTGAGGAGGAATTCCTGAAGCTTTAGCAGAAGTATTTATCACGGGACCAGTATTTGGGCCACCACAGGCCCACCCCATTGCTCTCTCGAGTTGAGCTTCAGCTGTAAGAGAACCTCGATCACAAGCTTCTAAGCCTTCAATTGACTTGGCTATCTTTGAAGCAGCAGATCGTAAACTTCCCAACAATTCAGATCTGCTAAGGTTTAGAATAATAGGGTATAGACTATCCTCGACAGAGAGAAATTTCTGCAAGGTGGCCCTATTTAATTGTGAAGGAGTCAAAGCTGTGTCATGTATCCACTCCATTTGAATAATTTCCAGACTAGTCTTTTGAAGAGCCTCTTTGAGCTCATTCATCTGTCTTCTCATAAGTGAAGCTGCAGACCTCGCCGCTCTAGCAGTTTCATGCACATTGCAATGTTCCTGAAGCATGCATCGGATCCTCTCAATGGATTCAAAATCTTCCGTTTGTTGATCATGCTGCTTTAAATTTTCCTTTTCTTTATCTAACCAAGCCAACAATGTAGGAACAGCCCGTTCTTTAAGGTACCTATATATATATTCTTGAAGCTGAAGCTGAAGCTTTTTCTTCATAACATTAAAGAGCTGGTCAAATCCAAAATTTTGATCCACGGCTGAAGCTATTTCATGTATGCATGAGTCAAGAAAAGAATCAACAACACAGATTTTCCAAATAAAGAAAGAATGACTGCTCAACAAGTCACCAAACCTCCAAACAAATTCAGATACTGGGTACCCAGAACTCAACACATCTGACAATTTAGGAACCCCGTTTGAGTGAGATGCGAAAGAAATTCCAGAGGAAGACCAGACTTCATCAATAGATTCCAATTCAGAGAATGGTTTGACTAAATTGGCCAACAGAGTGTTGCCTTTCGTAAAAACCTCCTTGTCCAGTGCTGCACCAATTATAGATTGAAATTGGCATTCTGAAGAAGCTAATGCATTTACTAAATTAGTTTCCCTCTTTGCAAGAGATGAGCTGCGTACATCTCTCTGGTTCCATGTTTGATGGAGTTGATTCAGTTGTGCCCTGCAAGCTTCCTCTTCTGAAGCAAGCTCCTCGGCCTCTTCCCAAGAGAGATGATCCCTGCCCTTAACAGCAGCTTCCTCAAGAGCCAACTGTTTTTCTGTAATGAGGCCAACGTTAACAAAATAATTCCTTTCCAATTCAACTAAAGATGCCTTCTCTATTTGAACCTCCAGAAACTGTTCTAGTGCTGTATCAATAGATCCTCGAATTTGTGAGACCAATCCAAGTGCATCCATAACTTCTGAATTCACTGAAATAGCAGATCTAATTATATCAGGTAGAACAGCCTCAGTCATTTTTCCTATCAGATCTTTGAAAGAACACAACATGACATTAAAAGTGGAAGTCCAGTTTCTATGAGAACGATTCCCAGGCCGATCTTTATTTGTGTTTTCCATGCTCATTACATTATCATTGATCAAGTCCTGTAATTCAGTATGAGACTCTGACAAAAGCACACATTTCTCGACTTGCTCTTCTAGATTGGAGAAAACAACATCAAAATCATGAGTTGAAGTTTTATTCACTTGTCTCCCATCATTCATATCATTGAAAATGCCCAGTAATCTTCCCCTAACCTCGCCATATAGAACATCCAGAGCAACATTAATATTAGTTAGTAGCTTTTCCTTTTTCTCCTTTCCCTCCACCAGCTCCACCTGCATATTGGAGTCCTTTCTCCCATCACGTGTAAGCCGCCCCAACTGAAGAAATGTAACAGCTTCTTCTCTCCTTACAAGGCCAGCAGCAAGCATGTACTTCATAAAAGTTGATAGAAGGCGATCTTTAGCTTTCAATTCAGTTTCAGTTCCAATAGAGGTCCGGAGCTCGTAATACTCTTCTTCTATTTTTGCAATTTCCTTAGCGTAGTTCTCCACTTGAGCACACATATTATCATGACCGACGGGTATAGAATCATTATTATTATCGTTTGCTTTTATAATAAGTTCAGTAGCTTGTCTTCTAGCAAGAGAGATAACATCGGAGGAGAGGGCATTCTTAGATAATTGTAAAGCCTGAGCCCATCCATGAACTACACTAGTTGTTACATAGTTTAGAGGTAAAAATCTCTGCAAAGAAACAGAATAAACTTGAATTGCAGATATAGCAGAAGAAAGTCCATCGCTCAGTGCAACTATAAGCTGAGAAATTTCCCTGTCTATATCATGGCATTGCACTTGTGTGGGCTCAGGAACAACTGTTACTGGAACTCCAGCCACCGTAACTGCAGATATAAGTGACAAAGCTTCTCCAACTGTTCTCATATTAAAACAAGTATCTACTTCTGGAATCATATTGCTCCTTAAATTATCAAGGACTCTTCCATGTTGCTCAATCCAGGTTGATGCCTCTTGAGCTTTTTCAGAAACGATAGCTTTTGCTTGAGCAAGCTCTCGAGCCTGCATTTCAAATAATGTTCGAACTTTCTCTGCATTAGATGTTGCATCAGCAACAACTGACTTAGCTGATGTTTCACTCAAAAGTATGTTTGATCTTTCTTGTTCAGCTTGATAAAAGAGCGTCGAGGCAAGCTCATAGTGATTTAGGACATTTGAAAAACCCTGGTATAGATTATTTGGTTAAGAGAGAAGTTCAAAGGAGCAAAAAGGAAACAAAAAGTTCAGGAAGTTATAGTCGGGATACATAGCAAGTTGTACCTCAAGAGCAGACTCAGCAGCTGGTAGGGTAGCCAATAAAAGATCATGATGCTCCTGAAAAATGTTAAACGAAGTTATGATGAGTTCACACATGCAGTACCTACTAAAACTCGTAACATATCAATTTTCTTAAAGTTAGAGATGATACTGCACCCAACATATGTACAAAATATTAGACTGCACAACAACTCATCTATTTAAAGTAATGAACCCAAATCTTTTGCTGTGTAATCACTGGTGAGTGACTCGAGCATTATACCAACATGGAATCAAAATTATCCGCATAGTTAAAGAACTTCCAACCTTCTTCCCACACCTTTTATAGGTGAACTCAACTGGTGGCTTATAAGCATAAATGAATCAGAGATGACTAGCCGACACAATGCACAATGGTAACACACAAAACACACTCCACATAATATACCCCCCCCCACACACACACACAAAAAAGAAAAATAAGATTATTAGCATTTAATGCAAATCATCAGAACCTGCAACGGGACACGAATTTCTTGCACACGAGATGCAAATAAACTCAAGCTAACAGCCAACTCCATGCCTTTTCTTTCTTCACCACCTATAGTTGCATCATCATGCAAATCACCACGTGTCCATTCCACAAGGGGATCCCACACAAAAACTTCTAGCAGCATTAGGAGTATGTCTTTGTTCTTTCTCAGAACATCTATCACTGCCTCACAGTTTGCTCTGAAGGTGCCTTCTATTCCTGTCAGTCCTAAAGCTGCTTCCATAGTTTGGGTGAGACGAAAAGGAACAATCTCTGGAACTTTCAGTTTCTGCCCTTTATCAAAACAGACATTATAGTCAATATGTACAACATCTCCAGTAGAGAAATCCATAAGGATATTATCCAGATGTCTATCACCTAAGCCCAGAATGTGTCCCACCATACTCATTGCTGCAACACTTCCAGCATACCTGAGAAGAGAACTTACTTTAGAATCTTGTATGACATGCAAACTAATTCTAGAGTTGTTACTTAAACAAACTGTTGCAAAATGGCTCCAAGGTCATACGAACATCAATTTAGTGTACAAGAAAGAGATAATACTTGAAAGTGCTACATCTCTTTACAGCAAGCATATTATTCTGTACCAGTAATTCTCTTAAGCCAGTATGCTTATCCACGGCTGACTATGGAAAAAAGAACGTAGCTGGTACACAGAAATAGTATGCAAACCATAAACCAGATCTAACTGAGAAAGAAATCTGCCCTTCAATTAACCCATCCCATCCCATCCATTACTCCCTTAAATTTACTCTTTCCAGTTGCTAGAGTAGTAATTAGAGGAAGTAAGTTCAAATCTCTGATCTTTCACCATCAAAATTAGTAGTCCATCCACATGATAAGCTTAGTTAGTTGATGAAAAATCCAAGATTATATGGGAAAAGGGGTTTTAGAAAATCTAAATGACCATGTCATTCCTTATTCAGTTGCAGAGAAACATTTTGATCGTTATTTGATACTTAAAGTAGTTGGAATTCATTGTAGTTTAGCAGCAATCGTAAAATCTGTCTGGCAACGAAATTTAAACCCAGCATGAACAAATTCCAATTTCAAATTTACAAGTTACGAATGTCATTTTTCTATCCACGAATAAGATCTCATTCATCCAAAACATACTTCATTGTTTACCTTTTTATCTCAAAATAGAATCTTCTTAACTTAGTTATTATTCTCTTTCATCGGCCTTTTTCTCTACTCTATACTTTGTATTTAGTCCAAGATCTATTCCCCGTACTTTATGACTCTCTTGTTCAACTGTTAAGAAAGTTCGAAAGAGAAGTTAGGGGATCTTTGGGTGTATTTGTTAAAGATTGTTTTTAATAACGTTTTTTTCATTATATTTTCATTTATTTCTATTATATATTAATTTTAAAATACAAGAATTAGAATTAAGTTATACTTTAAAAAATAATTACTACTTATAAATAAATAACTAATCGAGAGAACATCAATAAAAACAACAAAATACAATTTTTTTTTTTAATATTCGTTAGTATCCGGGCCAACTTACGTGCACCTCGACTAATCGCATGGGGCAACCGCCTGACCTTACAATATTTGGTTCCGATAAACACAGGAATTACTAATTCCTAAGGTAAGCAGCCATCATAGAATTTGAACTCATTCCCTCTTAATTAACCCTAGATCCTTTGGACCAATGAGCCACCAAGGATGGTTAACAACAAAATTGGTTAACAACAAAATACAATATTTGCAGACTTTTATTCTGAAAATTGTTTTTAAAAATTATTCTATCAAACAACAAAATAATTTTTCTTTTTTTTCTTTCTTAATGAGAAACCAATATTTTATTGAGAGAAATGAAAGAATCAACAAGGGCATACAAAAAAAACTAGTCCAACAAAAGGAGACACCTAGGGCTCCAAATGCAATAGAATAACACCTAATTGATAATTACGAAAATTCTAAGAAACGGAACAGACCCCCAGGATATTAAATCCAAGCTCTCAAATATTCTACCTGGGTCTCTCAACCTCTAAATATTACATTTTTTCTTTGGTGCCAAATCCCCTACAAAATAGTAAAAAAAAAATTAAGTCTGCCACAAAAACCTTCCTTTATCTTGAGAGGGAGGTAACAAGAAAACGTCTTCCATCAGCACCTGACAATCCCTATTACAAGCCCAAGACACCCCAAATGACTTGAATAAATCCATACTACAAGTCCAAGACACCCCAAATAACTTAAATAAATGACCCAAATATACTGGGCAAACTGGCATCTCCATAGAGTGGGGTAAAATCCTCTGAGGCACTTTTGTAAAGCACACACCTTTGCAACCCAAAAAAGAAGGAAGAGCACTTTTGAATACAATCCAAGGTGTTGACCTTTTCATGTAAGACTTGCCATGCAAAAAAAAATATATATATAAATATATATAATCGAAATTTTAACCTTCCAAATCGAGAGAAGCAACAGGGCATTAGGAGGGAGAGAGGGAATGCTCAACAAGTGAAAAGAAAAATCTAGAGGAAAACCCCCTGGACGAGCAAGGGGACAAAGAGGGGCATCCCTAAGCAAAAGAATCATGGCAAAAAACTCCAAAGTCTTCCTATCTGTCAAGGCAAAGAAAAAGAAGACCAATGCCCTTCAACGTCAAAATAGAGGCTGCCAAATAAAACCTCATATCAAAAGGGTGGTACAAACAAGGGAATAAAAGGAAGGGGGGTTTATCTCCTAGACTCCCACCCAGTGGTCCTCCCATAAATTAGTATCAAAGCCATCCCAACAAAACATCTCAAGAACTGGGAAAAGAAGGAGAGTATAGAAGAAATATCCTTCCAAGGATTTTCTTACAGAAATCTTTAAGCCCACTAGCTGAGACCCAGTCAAAACAATGTAGCCTATCCTTGCTCACGTTAATCCTTCGCTATAGGCATTAGGTTCCTGAAAGAACCGCCTCAACCATTTGGCCAACAAAGTTTCATTCCCAAGTCTCAAGTTCCCAATTCCTAGACTCCCCACCTCCAAATGCCTTGAGATGGTTTTCCAATTGACTAAGTGAAATCCTCCCCCCTCATCACCCCCTCCCAAAGGAAATTCCTCATATTTTTTTCCTAAATCTTGCTCACAGACACCAAGATTTAAGAAGAGACAAGAAGTTGGAATACCCCTTGAAATAGCTTAAATAAGAGTAAGTCTTCCTCCTTTAGAGAAAAACAATCTTTTCCACAAAGAAATGTGCTTTTGAATCTTTTCTAGCACTGACACCCTAAAGGTCACACTCTTAAAATTATGACCTAAAGGAAGCCCTAGACAGAAAGACAAAAAGTCAAGAACTTCACACCATACCAAGGAGGCCTGAGAGAGAAGCTTGGAAGACACAATTAATCCCCAAAATCGAACTTTTACCTCTATTAATCTTAAGACCTAAAATGGACTCAAAGAACGAAAGCAAACAGTTCAAATTAATAAAGGAACTACCTTCCCAAAGCAAAAGAAGAGAGTGTCATAAATTGAAGATGAGAAAGACATGACCTCTCTCTGCCATTGAGAAGCCCTCAATAACTCTTTTAACCACTTTAGTTGAGACCAACTTGCTAAGAATATCCAGGATGAAAAGAAAAGGTAGAGAGGATCGCCTTGTCTCAAATCCTTAGAAGCCAAAATCTTACTCCTTGGTCTGCCGTGGACAAGGATAGAGAAATTAACATTTTTGACACAACTGCAAATTCAAGCTCTACATTGGAAATCAAAGTCTCTCTTCCACATAACCTTGTCCAAGAAATCCTAGTCAACATGGTCATAAGCTTTCTCAAAATCAATCTTGAAAATAACACCTTCCTGATTCCTCTTCATGTAATCTTCAATTGACTCATTAGTAAATAGTAATAAGCACCTAATCCAAGATTTGTTTCCCTACATTAAAGGCTCCTTGAGTCTCAGAGATAGTGTTAGGAAGGACCTTTCTAAGCTATCAGCTAGGGTTTTAGCCTTATTTGAATTCTCATTTTTTTGGATTGGGCAAACATAAGTTTCATTCACGAAAACATCAATCAGCCCTTTTATAGCAAACTTTATTGTTCTCTATTATCAAACCTCATTGCCATGCCCTTAAATTTTACTTCTTCATACGAAAATCATAATTGAAACTTTACTTTTGATGTGACTAACTATGTTTAAGTTAGTTAGATAAATGTTTTAGCTAGTCATTTATTTACCATCATGTATTTACTGCTGTAAAACTTACCTACGGCTAGTTTAGTTGGCTATGGCTAGTTTTGGCATTTAGCAAGCCAAACCCGTACCTTGCTTCCTATAAATGGGAGCCTTTCGTACTCATTAGAGGCTGATCATTCATTAACAAGAATTCTACTGGTTGCTTACCCTTCCCAGAAAGCAAATAAAAGTGAAGAAAAACATTTAAAAAAAAGAAATAAATAATATATCTTTTACACTAGAACTTGATACAAAATCATGCCAAAAATATAAACAGTAACATATAGGAAAATATTTCTTCCAAAAGAAAAGTATATAAGAAAATAGACAATGACCCTTTGAAAAGAAAATAGAAGAAACGAGAAGAAAGAAAGCAAGAAAAAACAAATTTTACATTTGATAATCTAAAAAATTCTATATGCAAGCAACACTACTTTTTACAAATTAAGTCCTTGTTTACGTGTGACAAAAAGTGAATAATCAATTGAACAAAAACTTGGAGCAAAATAATCATACCTTTTTAATTTCGTACTGAAAGCTTTGAAGCCTTCACTAGCACACCACAGTTCTTGATAAAGAAGTTGTCTAGGAACCTCCTTCATTAGATCCAAAAGAACTTTACGTTTGACTTCATGGGGCCAATCTCTACGTGAAATTACTCTCCTTATGCCTTTCTCTTTAAGTGCCGGTATGATTTTACCATAAAACATATCACTCGGTCGAGGAAGCTGTGGAGGAACAGAGCCGTTTAAATTGCTACCGGCAGCTGAGAGTTGTGACACCTGAACCCGGTGTTGCCATGACTTGAATACAGTATATACACTCATCACATTGTTCACCCACTGGATAAGACCAGCTCTACCACTAATTGGAGTTACAGAATAATAGCGAATAGAGAGAGATTGACTGTAAGTTGAATGAGATGAATACAGAAAACTATTGATAGCTTGCAGCATTTGCATGATTCTAGCATCAAGACGCAGATCTTCTCTACCTTTTAAGAGATACGTGTAGGTCTGTCCATCAGAACCCAGTATTACAAGCTTTTTAGGTTTTGTCTTGGTGGACAATATAGTGACTTGTTCTGAAAAAGAACCAATTGTAACAATTCCTGAAAGATTAGAGCCAATGCTTCTGTCAGCTTCTGAATATATTACATGCTTCTCAAAACCAGGCATTGGAACATCAGATGATGATAACAAAGTTAACTTAGGTGCGACTTCTGTTAAAGAAATTGATGACTTTCTCTGATAAGATGCCAAAGATGTTGCAATATCATCAAATGGCCGCCATACATCAACAAGCGCTGTAGCAGAGGCTGGAGGATTCTTGAAGGTAAAAATAGCTGATTTCAGCTGTTCTTTATACTCTACATGAAACCAGGTTTCATGGGGCGTTTCAGGTTTTCGAGATGTTGAAGCCAAACGACGCTCCAAAGCCACTACAATGGGGGCCATCATGGCTGAGTACTTAGCAGCATTAATCTTGTTTTTCTCACTCTGGCTGAGAGTGACATTTGCAGCAATTCGAGCAGCTTCTTCCTTGAGCACATTTATGCGTCTCATCACATCTGAGAAATCAGACCAGACTTCTCAATGTTGTATTTTGTATAGAAAACAAATTTTAAAAAAAATCTTCACGAATCTACAAATAGGTATAGCTCTTGAAAGCTGTTAGTGTTACTACATGCCAAAGAGCTCGTTTAAATATGTAGCAGCAACTACTTGGCTCACAAAATTTGTTTATAAAAGATACTTATGCTAAATCATAGAGCAGGTTTGATATCCCTCAGTTTTAGCACCTACGGGTCAAACTTGGCACTTATATTTCACGTGAAAGGACAATCATGGTCAAATTTGAAGTTACAAATATGGAAATTTTCCAACCACTAACCAATTTTTATATTATAGAATGGTTTGTTTGGTAAAAGTGGCATTATGGGCATTGAAAATCATGTTTCTCACCTGTCTGAAGATCTTGAAGTGTACTGAGCCATAGCTCTTCCCAAAGTACAGTCACATTTTCCAGCTCTTTTATCATCAACTGAACATCTTCGATCAATCTTGGATAATGCTCTTTCTGCCGGTATCATAAGCATGTTTCAACAATCTTGTTTTTCAACTGTATGTATTGATTCAAACTAAAAACATTTCCAGCAATCAAGCCCATGCAGTTAGACATCTTCTCAAATTTAAATGAAAAAGAGCACCAGCATTTGCATTTTGCTAAGCAGCATTGACAAAATATTAAGAGGTATTTTTCTTCTCGATGCACCAAACTTAAAGCAATCAAAGATTTTTTTTTTCAAATAAGAAGCTTACTAGTTACTAGCATTCATGAATATAACAGCGTAGAAGTACAAAAATAACTCCTGCCTTAAGTATAAAACTAACAGTAAACACCACAACTAGAATCCAACTCTTACCCAAATATACTGTATGTTGAGTAAGGATAAAAAGAAAGACAAACCCAAGTTAGTGAGTAGACTGCATGAAGAAGTCACGTACAAATATAAAACTAATTGTGATATGATCTTTCAAGAAACCTGTAAACCGAATAACTGAGCCCTAGAGCTAAAGAGGGTCAGAGATTTAAGACTAAAGAACCCTAGAACTCAATAGTCAGTTTCAAAGTATTAAAGGATGAAAAAACCGTCACTCAACCCAAAAGCTTATGCTAGTGGATTTGGTAAATTTAATTCATATATTGGACATCTAACACCCCCTCACTTGTGGGCGTGGATAATTGCACAAGGCCCAACAAGTGGAAATCATTATAAATGGGTAGGAAACAACAATGCAGGGGTTCGAGTACATTACCTCTCACCCACTCTAATACCATGTTAAGGATGAATAAACCACCACTCGACCCAAAAGGTTAAGCGGATGAGTTGAGTAAATTTAATTCATATATTGGATATCTAACACAAAGATTAAATAACTCAAGAGCTAAACTGATAATATACGGAATAAGTTCAAGACCATTTAAGACCAGGAGCAGTTTCAAGCCCATTCAAAAAGGGGAAAAACTCATCCTCAAAATAAAATATGCTAAATATGACGGTAAAATGGTGAAATTAATAGAAGAAAGCATGTTACCAGACAACCAAGTATATGCTGAAGCTCCTCCGAAGGCTTCTCTTCATAAGAATTCACATCAACGAGTGTTGGGTATACTACAGACCAGGGAGACTGCTTAGCCAGCATCATCACTAATGCCTCCAACTGCTTCCTCACGATTTTCTCAGGATGAGAACTCAGGCGAGCAAATAACTGTGGTGTCACTTCCTATAACGTAAAAAAATAACACAAGTTAAAAACTATAATAGCATCAAATTAGTTTCATAAAGGAAAAGAAACAATTTAAAACAGAAACAGAAATCAGACCTGCCATGGAAAGAGTGGGACTGTTGATAGAGCAGGTTCAAGAGAATCTTTTAACTCAGCTCCATAATTGAGAAGAATATGTAGGACATATAATGTGGCCCTAAGTGTGTACTTTCCAGATTTCTGTTTAATTGACTGACAATCATAGCCCGCCAGCTGACCATCACAAGCTTTTATAGATGAATACAAAAGATATTGTATAAATCCATGAGCAGCATGACCAAAGAGAGACACTCTTCTAGACCTCAAAGACCTCCAAACATCTACCAAATCCTGAATTATGGGTACAGTGCTACTGTCATCTAGGTCAACAGTGGCACGCTGGAAGAATAACTTTAACTGGGAAGTAAATACAGCAGTAAGGCATTCATTCCCAGGGTTTTCAGTGTTTGACAACCCAGCTGCAGTCTCGATGATATTTATTACTTGCTGCAAATAGGCCTTGACGATGCCATCAAATTTCATATCCCCTGCAGAGCTGGTCTCAGAGTTCCACTCAACTTGCTCATCATCAAGAATTTTTGCGTCATAACCTTTCTGGAAAAGAAGATAAATCGAGCGTTCCACTCTCATGATTTCGTCTTCAGTTAATTTGTATTTGTTAGAAAGAACTTCAGGATCTAGTATAGAAGAAAACAAGCATGCGCCAAGAGCAGTTCCATGTGGAGCACGGAGAGCACTTTCAGCTTGACTAAAGCACCACGATGCATAAGAAATCCACGACTTACCAAATGTGGGACAAAGGCGAGTGGACAATTTAGCCATTGTACCCACAATTTCCTCAATGATAAGACCTACACTTGGCCCAGAGTGTAAGTCCTCATTACAAATTGAGACCTCACCTCTGCCAGGAGACTTACCAGTGACATTAAAATCAGCAATCATCTTAGGTATAATAATATCCAAGTTCAAAGCTTCAAAATCCTGTCTTAACCAACGAGAAAGTTTTAAGCATCCTTTTGCTTTCAGAATACCATCATCAATGTTCGACTCAATTGAATTGAAAGAAATGACGTAAGGATGCACAAATGACCAAATATTTGTGAAAGCATCTTCAAACTTGTTGTCGGCTTGCATTAGCAAGATTCTTTCATACTGCAAGCTTGAGAGAAGAAATTGGCAATGCCTTTCATCAGAACAATTTGATATATGATCATGAAGATAATTGTTTAAATTATTTGCCAACATTAGGTTTTTCTGTTTACGGGCCAAACTCAACAAATTAATACAAAGTTTCAGTGTGACTGGAGAAGTTGGCGAGATAACTCGATAAACCCGTAGAACTTTTAACCATGGGTTGCAATCTTGATTGACTCTACAGAAAGAAGATTGCACCGACTGGACATAAACACTTAATATTGAATTTAACTGTTCATATGTGTCTGTACTGCCTGTAAGCTTGCAACCTTCTTCTAATGCAGAAATGCTATGTAATTGTGTAGCAAATGCAGCTGCCTCTTCCAACCCATCCAGAGGCAAAACTGACACTGTTTCCTCCAGCATTGCCCTTGCCTTCTGGATTTCTTGGGACACCTTTTCCATCTTTCCCTCATTATGGAAAAGTAGTGCCTGTAAAAGCATCTGCTCACTCCTCTGCAAAGCCAGCTTGGGATCTAGAGTTAGCTCATTGCTACTCTTAGGCGTCAAACCAAGACATGCCCATGATGCCTGGTAATCCCCTTCATCAAAGTGTGCAAACGCATGGATTGCATTTATTTCATTGCCTGCTGTAGTTAGAGCACCAGAGTAGCTCTTCCCTGCATGTTTAGAACGAAGAGATTGCAACTCCAATAACCATGATTCCAAAGATTTCCAATCTGCCATAGCAGTATACCCCTCAATAATACGGGCAATGGTGAACTGTACACCATCAGAACCCATTGAAGCTAGTGATTCTTCAGTCTGCAACAAGTGAATAAAGTGAGCAGTTGCCTTTTCATATTGACCTCTTGCCTGATAAACTAGCCCTGTAATCCATGAAAAGGGTCTTAGCATACCGAAGTTATCAAGACTCTGATTTTCTTCTAGAAACAAGGAAGAGAATGTCATTCCAACCCATTTTTGAAGACCAACCAAAGCTTCTGCTTCATGACTTTTACAAAGAGCCAGAGTCATGTGCCTCAAAACTCTTAAGATATCTCTGGTAAATTTACTCTTGCTATTGTGGATGTTCTCACCTACCTGTAAATTAGACTTTTCCTTCATATGTGACATAGCAAGATTCTTGAACTCCTGCAAACGCAGAGTACAATATTGAATTGCACCATATTGACTTTGAAGAGCCAATCCAGCATTCATCATTGGCTCACACATACGTGAAAACCACTCCTCACAAACTTTCTTGTTCGCTCGAAAAAACAAGGAACTTTGGCGAGTAGCAGATGATAAGACAGCAGACCCCTCATATGCATTATAAACATTTTTCTTTAAGGCTTCAACGAAATCCAATAATAACCTCATCGGTAATAAACGTGCTCCAGAAGCCCCAACCATCGTCAAGTTCCCATCATTATGTTCATTATCAAGCTGTAGCAAATGTGCAATATCCAAAAGCATTCGCTCTAGTGCTGCAAAAGTCTGTGTAGGCCCACCAAGGTTTGTTCGTAGACGCAGAGCAATACAATATCTAGCTGCTTCATGAATGGCCCACCAGATTCCAGCTACACAATTAACTGAGCAATTACCATAAAGAAACTCATCATCCACCTTGAAGTCCAACCATAAACCATTTGCACCTAGGTTTCCTGTTTCCTCACTCTGACTCAAATCAATGTCCTTCCATCTCCCACATCTATGGATGAGCCGCTGTGTCCATGACGCAACAGGAACTTTCCATCTTTGTGATATGTAGCTCAAAATGGAAATAAGTTGTTGAAAATAAATTTGCTGAGGAAGCTGCTTCAAGGCAAATACTTGTTTCCAATGCAGGCTAGACCTGTGATCAGACATCAAAAGGGGCCTAGAAGTAGGATAGGCTCCAACATTATAAAGACCACAAGCATAAAGTGCCGTGGGCAAGACATGAGAAACCAATCTCACGAATGAGTTCTTTATATCATTATCTGGATCACCAAGCTTCTCTAAGACAATGTCAGCAACGGGATAGAAGTGTATGGGATGCACAATTTTTGCTAGCATGAGCAGCTCCAATACCGAAGCTGCATTAGATCTCACCTTAGGCTCCCTGTCAGATGCAGCATCAATTACCATGAATATCAAGTTTCCTACAACACCAACATATCCAAATGCTTCATAAAAATTAGCATATGTTTTGTCATTATTAAAAATAATAATGACATTCTCACAGAATCTTTGAATCCATGCCAGGGTTGTTATTTTAACTGTTAGTGGAGAAGATTTATGAAGGGCTTTGGAGAAGAGCGTATTGTATTTCGTTAGTTGCTCAATAATAATAGCTGAATGGTCCTTCTTCAGAAAGTCTTCATCTACCTTTTTGCCTATATCTACAAAATGATTCTCGCTACTCAGTTTCTTCAAAGACCATTTGCTAAATAATTCAGTTGTAGTCAACCTGTCCAATGTATCAAGGATACCAACTTGCAGTTCCACATACGCCTGAATTGGAAAGTCAAAAGGATTCAGTTTATTCATTATGAAGGAAATCAATCTTTCTGACCTTGTTAGACATGAGAAAGCAACGTTTTCTTGGCCTATCAAACCAATAGTTCCACTAGAGATGGTACAGGTCAATAAGACTTTCAAATCAAATTTAACGAGGGCAAACAAATCAATATTCGAATAGATTTGAGAATCAATAATAACATTGACATCTCCTTGATCTAAACCCTTTTCTAACAAGCCCTTGAACATTTCTAACTCTTCCATTAATAAAGTCGCTGTTTTTTCAACAACTTCATTATTCCTGTGCTGAAGCAAGAATATATAAGTGGCGGCAGCGCTTCCTGTTACCAAGTGATTTGGATGCAGTCGTAGCTGAGATATTGGTGCATCAAATTGCAATATTCTGTGCACAGATGATGACAGCAGTCCAAGTTTTTGAAGGGACAATAACTGAAGGTTAGTTTTTAAAACACCATGAACTTGAAGAAATGTAATCTTCTGACCTCTCATTACATGGTTAGCCCTGGTCATTTCCAAACTTTGGGATAGGATATCAATTGCAAGTGGATAAAAGGTGGAAAAACGTTCACGTAATATTTCCGCCAAAAGAGTCAAGCACTTCCACAAATTCTCAATCCACTCTAACCATCCGAACTTATGTCCAACCATAGATAAACATCCCAACAACTGGGGAAGCATTCTTGAAAGAGGTTCACTTATTTGCTCAAGAAGATTCATTTCCAACAATCCAGAAGCAGTAGAACGAAGAATTGTTGAAAAGCAAGAAAGCAACGCAAGTAGCCTACGGAATTGTTGTGGTGTCCCGGGGCTCCCATCTTGAAGTAATACATCCATGTCACCCAAAAACTTTGACAGTAATCCCAGAGAAAACTGCAAATTACCCACCCAGTGCTTCTGAAACTGCAAGAAACTATCCATAATGATGTGCCTATCTGATTCAGTTAGATCTGGAACCAATGCCCAACCTAGAAGCAGATCAACAATATCAAGGAAATGAGGCTGGAAGCATCTAGAAAACTTCAAAGAAATCAAGGTTAAAACTCCTAAGAGCCCATGTAACAAAGACAAAGGGGTTCTCTCATCCTCAAGAAGTACTTGGCATGCTTTGAGGATTGGCAAAGCATATCTCTCGACAGCACCAGCTTCTCCAATATTAATGAACTCTTGCAGTCCTTCCAATGCCAACTTGGTGGTTGCATCACCTGCAGTGACATTGCTTAGCAATGGCAATGCCCAGCCAATGAATCGATCAACCAAAGTCCCAAGTAGTACACTATTCTGTCTCCCATTTGGTGACAAAGCGATTGAACATGAGACGGCACAAAGAGCACCATATGCAACGGCTGCTGCCTGTCTCACCGGGTGCGACCTAAAATATGGTATCAAGTAATAGTGGCATCAATAATAACATTCAGTGTAAAACATGATGGACCAAGGTTTTAAGAATATAAAACAAGAAGAATTTGAATAAATTATAATAAACAATAACCTACTTGGCCCGTTTTACTACTAAGAAAGACTAATAAAAATCTTGGGAAATTGTTACAAAATTATCATGAAAAGTTTATTTGCTCTCATCGTGAACGTGAATACTTATTCTAAGACAACCCAAAAACTTCGATTCAGTTCCACAGGAAGGATCATTTCCTCAACCTCCTCAAAACTCCAATTTGTTGCTTAAGCAAGTTCCTAGAGCATTGAGCAATGCACACAGATGGAGGAAAGAGAGAGAGAGAGAAAGGGCAACAATTAAACCATGTACATGGACTCTCAGCTCGAAGCCAAATACAATTTATAATCAATCTATCGGCATACCACAAAGTTACTGTACTTCAAAGCTCATCCACAAAGTGAAAAGGGGAAATAACACATAACTGGAAGAGGACGACTCACTTGTCAGATAGAAGCTGAGAGAAGCCCTGGGAGAGGAAAGTGGCGGAGTGAGTAACAAGAAGAGAATTGGGTGGATAAACAATGGCGCGATGGATTGAATTGATAGCTGCAATTCGAGCAGAGTCGTCATCATCGGAGGAAGCAGTGGTGGAAATGGAAGTGGAGGCAGTGGCATTAGGATCATCCTTAGGTAGGGCTACGTTGAGAAGTGCCGCCAATTGCTGCTGCTGGTGGTGAAGCCCCTGCATCATCCTTCTCCGGGTATTTCCCTGAAAGAATTCATTTCAAATCTCTTCAAAACCACCAGATTCCGAATGATTCAGAATCATTCACTTTCTTTCTGCTACGAAAAATCATTGCAATTCTTTCGCGTTCCTGAGGTTCTGTAAACAGGAACTGTGTGGAAAATACTCATCCAGCAAGTGGGTTTCCTGGAAATCAAATTCCCAGTGAGAAATTTCCGCCTACGGCTATAGTTTCCCAGTTACAGTGAAAAGTTGAAGCATTTTCAGAAACAAAATGGCGAAACTTGTGAAAAACAAAACGAACAATTGTCGTAGGCGGTCCAAATTCTCAAACTGTATTGGGATTTGAAGGAAACTCTAATGGCAGTCAAACTTGCATTCTATTTTTTCCATATCATATGCCTTTGCCTATATCGAATAATTAATATCATCAAACTTCAAATGAAGATTTCTCAAATTTTCGGAAAAAAAAACATTTTTTACCGTTTTTAACCTGAACATTTGATACGTGTTCCCCGTTATGTTGAAATCAGTAATAATAAATAATAAATAACAATCGCTATCCATGAAGTAAGCATGACTAAAATGATCAAACTCCCCTAAATTGAGCCTAGATATCAAGTAGTCGTCAAAGAACTTAGCGGTCGTGACCTAGGAAGCGGACTCGACTCAAGAATTGAGGACCAAGGCCCACACCACCTTGGTCGGCTCAGTCAGCCAAGAACAACTAACTTGATGTTGGTCAGCTTGGCTCGACTAAGTATGGAGGCCAACTAGCTTGGTGCTAGTCAGCTCGGTACTAGGCTGAGGCCGACCAACCTAGCCGTTTGACTGGTCTGTGTAGTCCAGCTCTCGATATTCATTATGGTCAATAGAATATTAGAACTCAACAAAAGCATAGAAAAATGACCAACTATTCAAAAAGAAGAAAATATCCTAGAGAGAAAAGAAGAAGAAGATATCCTTAAAAAAAAAGGAGATATATTTATCTTATCAAAAAAATCAATAGGAAATTTGAGAAAGTACTCAGGATAAAGGCACGCTCTGAAACTTCACTACTAAGTTTCACACAAGACTCGATTCTAATTTAGGCATCAAAATAGAACTGTAAAACAAACAAAATAATATTGATGTGGTCAAATGTTATTGGGTTTGTTTTACCGTTCATCCTTTTTTAGATTAGTGCAAATTTTACCACTTAAGCAATGAAATTGAAATAAATATATACTAATTTCACCCTTACCAACTAGTTAAGACATATATATTTTATTAGAACGTTAGAAGTAAAATTACCGCATGCTCATTGAACTCACGGAAAAAAACTAATGTATAAACAATCCTAAAATAGGGCATATAGTTTTTATGTAAAACCTAAAACTTTTATATATTTAATTTTTTTAGAGACCATACGTTGTATAATTTTTGTTCGTAATTAATTGAGCTAATATTTGAAGCATGATAGAAGAATAAATAAAGATGGATAATACTTGCAAGAAAATGAGTGTTAAGACATTGTGTAATATCTTAACTTAACAATAATGGACACTTATTTCTAACCAATAGTTCACGAGTTCTAATCCTCCCACCCCAATTTGTTGTTCTAAAATTTTTTTTTTATTTAAATTTTTTAATCAACAAAGGTTTGATATAATAATGAGCATACTGTATAAAAAAAAATTGTTCACTATGTAATAATCAAAGCTAGTTGCAATACGTCACACCTTCCTTGCACTCTATAATTTTATGTTAAAGATTGACAATATTTAAGCTATTGTTGATAGTTAACTTATAAAGCAATTGGTTGGGGGAAAGTTATGAAGATAATTTTATTTCTTACAAGTTATGAGCAGCCAGTAAAAATTGAGGCTCTTAATTTATTTTGCATTTAGGGGTTCAATTATGTGATTTATTTATAGACACTGTCGTACTCATTAGTTAGAAATTTAATTGAGTTTTCTTCACATTGTTTAATGTACATTTTATGTTCTTTGTAACTGTAATAAAGGAATTGGGAATTATATTTTCAATTCAAATATTTTTTTTAAAACATATTTGGTTAAAATATATTTTTCTATCTCTATACTTTTATTGAAATTTTAATTTTTTAACGATTTAGTATTTATACCTTTAAATTAGAAAGATTTTTCATGATAAATACTAAATCATTACAAATTTTAAACTATAATAACAGAATCGTTACATGTGAAGTTCAAAATATGTTTGGGAGTGATTTTGGCATGGTTAGAAAAAATCACTTTCATTTTGAAATAGAATGTTTTTGGCAAAAGCCAAACCTAGCATAGCTAAATGGTTAAGACACCTATCTCTGATCAAAAGGTAATGAATTTGAATCATTTTCGATCATTGGGGGTGATTTCTGACTAAAAAGTTTGGTTTTTAAAATTGTTATTGTTTTAATTTTTAAATAATTAAATAAAATTACTTTCACACAATCAATTATCATTAAATTTTTTTTTTGTTAAAATCATTCCCAAGCATACGATAAATTGTTACAATTTTGCAATTTAGAAATACAGGATCGAATCATTATAAATTAAAATTCAAATACTAAATTTGGTACTTCCAATTATAGGGACAAAACAAATTGATTTTTAACCAAACATATATCGATTTTAGCATTTATATTGTGTGGGGTCTTCTTTTAATTATTATTATAATTAATATTCTTTACCGCAAAATTCAACAAGTCGTTGTAGTATAGTGGTGAGTATTCCCGCCTGTCACGCGGGTGACCCGGGTTCGATCCCCGGCAACGGCGGTTTTTTTCCACTCCAGAATTCCTTCATTTCTTTATTTTGTCGGCTACCAAACAAAGTGAAGAAATCTCAACACATACAGACACCCATTTAACATTCCAATCAAATTTACCAACGTTAGAACCCAACTTCTTTGGCACAGATGGTCGGAGCAGTCATATTTCGAAGTCGGAAAACTCCTCCGACCACCGACGCTGCTGTTTCGGTCCCGAGCGGTTTACCGACATCCGAAAAACACAAGTGGAAGGAAATTTCAAATGAGATCAGATGAGAAAGATTCATTCCTCCAGTTGTGCTTTCCATTTCTCCTTGGAGAAAAACAGCCAGCTTCTTCTTCTTCAACTATATAAGTAAAAAAGTTTGAGAGTTCATTCATGGCAGTACAGAGAAAACCAACTTTGGTTTAAACTTTTTCCATTAAGGGGAAGAATTTACAGACTGGAGTTCCAAAGTTGAACCACTCTACAACTTCATCATGCTTTAAATAAAAAAAGCTGTAAGACCAAAGACGAAAAACTGGACATTACAAGGATAATCTGCAACAACAGGATGTTGTGTAATCAAGAACTCGATGTGATCTGTTTTTTAATAAAAATTCCAACATATTTGCACTAGATATGCACTGGAAATTCCAGTTGGATCTCCACTGGTTCCTGCAAAAAAGCAGAGATTCAAGGCATAGTCAGATATTTTAAGGTTGTCGGATGTAATGAGAAGAATGGAAAAACAGAAAGAAGCAGACAAAAAAGGAAGATACATCTGCTAATGTTTATGCTTCTTTGTTTCTAGTCTTTGAAAAACAAATGCATTCAGTAACTATTTATGTTTCTCATGTCTATGATATGTTGCTAGTTACCAAGTTTGAAAAACATAAATATATCATTATAGTTTTGAATGTTTTATGTTTTAAAAAATTATTTTTAGATTAAAATACTATTTTGATATCTGTATTTGATTCATTTTGATCCCGGTAAGTATATTTTTAAGACGTTCATTTTGGTCTCTCACTTTCAACTCTCGTTCATTTTAATCATTGTATTTTCAAAACGTCTATTTTAATCCCTGTATTTTAAAAAAGTGACCAGTTTGGTCCCTCTTTGCAAGATTTTAACACAAATCTTTTACATAATACATACAGATTTATAGCTATACATCTCAAGAAATTTAGTGAGTGAAATGTCATGGTAAAATTATGATCGAAAGAAATAAGATAAAAATGAAATTTCAGAAACCAAAGTTGTCACTTAGACCAAAATGGACATTTTGAAATTACAGGGACTAAAATGAATAAAAATTGAAAATACAAAATTCAAAAAGGACATTTTTTAAAATACAGGACTAAAATAAACCAAAGCTAAAAATAGAGAAACCAAAATAGTATTTAAATAAAGCTTTCAATATTTTAATTTAAAATTTGAGATAATAATGTTACAAGGGAAAAAAAACAATTATAAAATACAATTATACGTTTTTTGTATTCTTTCTAATAAAATATAAAATGAAAAACAAACAGCAACATTATAAACGACCCCTTATCCAGAAATATGATTAGAGCTAAACTTGCAAAGGCAGCCAGATTAGCGCAGAATCTATTTAGTTCATTTACTCAAAGGCCATAATCAACAGTGGCACTATTACATAGCAACCTCAGGAGGCAAATGACCATCAAAACACAAGTACTAGAGTAAATTAATAAGCTATTTGGGGAACATTCTGAGGAATAGTTTTCTGTTTTGTTTTCAAAATTTCTACAAATTTCCATTCTACGTAAATGTTAAAGTTATTGTGCTTGAATTTACTATTTAGAATCTCATGAAGCATGTAGGTAAAAAAGGAAGTTGCCTTGAAAAGTTTAAATAATACATGTCTGATTCAGAAAAATATTACCTTGGATTCAAGTTTTTGTTGGATCTCCATGGACGCGGAATATTGTAACTTTCAGCACAATATCTTTTATATCAATCAGTTCAAAGACACAAACATCTTCTTCTTTCAAATCATTCTCCATCACAAAGTCAGCCCATCCCCTGCTTAGTTTGGTGCCAGGACCTTCACGAATGCATCGAACACGCCATTGCTTTCCGCTAGAAGTCTGAAGTGTGATGTCGCCTGAGACCCCTTTCAGATACTTCTCAGCAAATTTGGATGGTATATGCTGTCGACAACGAAACAGAGTTAATTTTTATCGCCTACTTCACATTACAGCTGAGCATCACATATGGAGTGTTTAGTTAAAGACTTACCAGATGGAACCCTCTTCTTACATAGGATTGTCTCATAACAATCCAGCAAAAAGGATTACCAGGCTTGAACTCCTCAACTCCGAAACCCATCCTAGTAATTTTATGCGGGATGCTTCCGCATTTTTTTTCGAATAATGGCTCATTGTAGTAGTCAACTACATTGAATTTTGTTGTTAAGAACCAATTTATTTTTTAGAATCTGCAAATTAGTTAAACTGTGCATTTGTAGAACTTACTTGGTTCAAGTTTTAACTTCTTTTTCCTGGCCCCTTCATCTGTTTCATCTGAGAATTGAAAGTCCACATTCTCTCTAGCTTTTGAGACCTCATCTCCATTAAACTGAATACCGATATCCCGATTTGACTTTAGTAGTTGCAACTTATCTAAATCCTTAAGTGGATGCAGGCTCTCTGTGTCAAACCAATGCATAAAGTTCTTAATGCTAGTCCCATTCAAACTGCCATGCCATTTCTGGTGATCTGGAAACTCACAAAAAGCCTTCTTGCCTGAAGAACGTGGAGAGGGATCCGGAGAACTGGATCCAAATATTTCAATTAACTTCTCATATCCAGCTTCTTTTCCAAGTGTAGCTGGGCATTGTTCGCCGTCGATTTGTTCAAAGGAAGTATTCGAAGTATTACATGGACCATTTGGAATAGCAGTTAGGTTGAATATATAAAAGTTGAAAATGGAATTCCCTTCAAATCTGAAGACCAAGAGTTGCCCAACTTGAATGCAGTGGTGTTTGACAAAATCATGCCAACCATCCTCAAACCACAAACTACGGCCACTCCTTTTCAATCCCAGAACCCATCGATAGCCATTAGGAACAACAAGAGTAACAAGATCAGAGAGATCATCTCCAAACTTCTTCGCAAATTTATTCGGAATTTTCTGTGCATATATCAATTTAATCTGTTAATAAACGTTACTAGAAACAGAAAATATCTCTATCACAAGATTTCAGATAAGGTATCTATCATGACTTAACTAAAGTGCTAACTGCTAGTATCATTATCAGAGTCAAAGAGTGAATAGCTTTAAGAAACAATGATAGATAGGATAATGGTTTTCTCACCCCGTCCAATACAAGTCAACAGCAAGCACTGTAATACTGAAGTCTCAAAAATTCTTTGGACAGCAGAAACTTCCACCCTTTTAATGGAATTTCTATGGGCAAAAATCAAAAAGAGAAAAAATAACAAAACACTACCCCCTCCAGCTTTTCAACTGTGCCTATTCAATTTAGCTAAATGAAGCTCAACAAGTCTGACAAGAAATTCAATTACCCACTTAAATGGTTAGCCTAAAGTGAAAACAAGGGTCCCCGCCGTCATCATGTAAAGACAGAGATTGGAAAAAGGTGATCACTCGAGGCCAATTAGAAAAGAAAAGATCAATAAACGCGAAGAAACTCAAGCTGCAAAAAATTAAGAGCCGATAATTCACAGCCCAAATCATATTCTCGGCCATTGATGTTCAATCTGCGGCTTCCAGTTTGTTCGCTCAGCCGCTTCAATTCCTTCTCTCTCTGTATGGAGCAACAGAACTTGGTTTTAGGTCTCTCGTCCCTTCAATCTTCCAAAACAATCCAACGGCTCTATCATAAAAAAATTGCAGACGAAAAACAGCTAAGAATCTAATCAAAAGGCATTTTCTCTCAATTTCTTCAACACCCACAAGCAATCCACGATTCTATCACTCCTCTGTCTGAGCAGACAAGAAAAAAAAATAAGCTAAGAAACGATTGATCACTGATCTCGAGACAGCAAAGAAGATGAAAAATCAGTCTACATTTCTCTTCAACAAAACCGATTCTGGGTTCCATTCGTTACCCTTTTCCCCATAAGAAAAACCAAAGTGAAATTCATACAGAAAAAAATAAAGAAAACGAAACACCGGCGGTATCTACAATGACCCATTGTTACCAGCTTCTTGTCTTGGAGAATGGAGGGCACCACCAGCTTGTAGAAGAGGCCAGCCCTCCTCGCCGGAGAGCTTTCGTGGAACGATTGAGCGCCCTCTGGCTCGTTTGACTCCGCCATGGCTGTAACACAGTTCTCCATGGGAATTTTAGCAGACCCTTATTCAATTTCCATTGATTTCTGGCAAAAAGCTTGGACCCAAAACCCCGCGCTGTGTGCGCGACAGAGAGAGAGAGAAGAGAGAGAGAGAAGAGAGAGAAAGAGGCTCAAAAAACTATTCTCCCGAGTGTACAATTGGGCCCACGTAGGCAAAAACCAATAGAAAATTGACACGTTGGTCTTGTGGGACCATTGGCTTAAATTAATTACCTAAACTAGAAATTATAAAAGGAAAGGGGATTTGCATATAAACAATATATATACCACACACTAGATAGAAGTATATTAATTTGTGTCACATTTCATTTAGGTTTAATTTAGTTTTTGTGGTTTTAACTTAATTTTAATCTTTTAATTAATTTATCAATAGTAGGTGGGATGGGATGAGGATTTGTTCGTGTGACTAGAAAGTATGTCTTAACTAGTTAAACTAACCTACATCTAAAAATAATAGTTGTTGAAAGGTCTTTTTTAACGGCTTATACTTATTATGTACTATATGTGATAGAATGGACGGGAGAAGAAAATTATAAAGAAAAAAAAAATTGAATGAGGACATAGGTTGCAAGTTTTTGAAACTTCTCTTTATGAAAATATTATTTTACCTTAGGGGCTCTATTGTAGAGAGTGTCTGCTTATGTTAGCCGAGAAAAGAGTGAGACGTGAAAAGAAGACGGGAGAGGGGAGACTTCAAACAAGTAATAGAAGAGAGGTGAGACCGTGACTTTCAAGTTAAAGATTTTTAAAGGTTTCAATTTATTCCTTGTAGTTTTGGTTTAGCTTTAATTTGGTTGAACTTTACAAATTATTACTAAGATATTGTCTTTTCCTTACCTATTTTCTCATTTTTAACTCAATTCTAAATTTTAATAAGTCGATTGATATAGTTAATCAAACAGAAAATATTAACTTGTCGATACAACAGTAATAAAAAAAAGTGTCACTTAATCAATATGATAATGAGAATGATATGTAAGATCTAAACTAAATCCTAAAGATCAAATTGAAAATTTTTAAATATTAGGGAACAAATTTTTCATAATCTTATTCCAAAAATAATAATAATAATAATAATTCATTTATTTACAATTACTTTTTATTATTTAATATCATTAATATACTGGAAAAGGAGTTACGGAACTTTAAAACTAGAATAAAAGAAGTTTACAATTATTGTGTATCTATACAATAATTACGGAAAATAAAACTGACCGAATGATTATAAAAATTATAGAAAAAATAAAAATAATTATAATTACGGAAAGTAAGAAAAGTTTTAAGGTAAAAAAAAAAGAATAAAGAGGAGTGATTAAATAGAAGATAAAGATGAGGATTGATTTGTAATTATTATATACTATATTACCAATATTCCGCTACTTAAAACACTTAAAATATATATGCGAATATTAGAATCGAACTAGTTAGATGATGTCTACTAAAAGGATTTTAACCATCGAAATTTGAGTGAAGAAAAAATGATAGAGTGATGACAAGTCACGGGTATCAAATTTAAGTGTTAAATTTTGTAGGTCTCAAAAATTAAGGTCCAATAATTTTTATTAATCAAAATCAAATTTATTTTGAAGAAATTAGGGACCAAAAAAAGATTAATGTGTTGGATTTGCATGGATGAAATCAGACAAATTCCCTTTTGTGTTGGGATTAACCTTTTTATCGTATTATTGTTAAAAGAATTCAAATATCAGGTTGGTCCCCCAATCACTGCACGCCACGTGTCCTTAGTCTTTAATTTTCTAAAATGAGTCATTTTTTCACATTTTTTTTAGTTTTTTCAAGAGAATATATCAGTGTGGGGAAAAGTATATAGAAATTGAATTTATAGCCTTTTTTGTATTAATTATTCTTGAATTTATTATACTCTGTTTTGTTAAGTGGGTGAAAATAAAATAGGTTGTAAAGAATTTAGTACTTGATTACTTTATTGTGATGATCGTTGAATTGAATTTGTAGATTCTTTATTATAGATTGAAATATTATAAATTGTTTATAAATTCGAAATTTACACCTTAGAGCTTTTTGAAAAGTTGATAAATTAACATACATAATTAAAGTGTGGTTACTTATTGTAAATTAAATTATATAAAAAAAAACTTTTATAAAGTTAAAACCCTAATTTTCTCCTCCAGCATACATACCGATGCAACGGTTAATTTGATTATGAACCAACACAATCATAAAGCAATAATAAGATAAAATTATGAATTGTGTTTCTAAAGTTGATTTAATCTCTAATATTTAAAATGTTTCAATTTTACCATTAAACCATCTGCTAATAAATCCATCTCTCATATAAATTTACAATAAACTTAAAAGGAAAATGATGAACCTCACTTGTTTTTTTTTTCTTATAATTTAAATTTGCAATAAACTCCACCCAACTAATTTAATTTTAACATCTTAATTCAAATCTCCTAAAACTTCAATCAAATCTCACCCTAGGAAAATAAGATTAAAAGACACAAGTTAAATAATAGAGACTAATTAGGACATTAATCAAAAAAATGAGGCACACAAAAGTCAACTGATTCATTCTGATGATTTAACATTATATGAAAGATTCAAAAAGAAAAATAAAAAAATAATCTATAAATTTTGACAAAGCAATGGAATACAACTACATAGCACAATTTATCACCATTGCTTGATTTTTTGAACAAGAAACGAACTTTTCATTGACTTAATGAAAAGGAACAAAAAATTATTCAAAGATACAAACCCTTGAAACCTATCCTAATATCTAGCCTTAGCAACCGATATCGTGATTGCTAGTACTTGGGTCAATCTGAGCCATAACAAGATCTTTCACAATTCAAAGGAGAACAAGTAGAATTGCGATCTATGGGAGTTAGATTTATGTAACAAGAGAAAGAGAGATATATAATTCCTTACCTAGAAAAAGAAATGGCCATGAGATTGTTTGATAGCTTCTAGCCCTATTTCTAGAAGTCCTTTGAACTCGCTCGCCTAGTAACACGACAGTTGTATTGTAAAGGTTTGTGTTTGTCGTAGCCACATAAGCTAAGACATGGGCATAGCTAGGTGCAACTATCTCACAGACTATCAATATGAAACGCAAAAGAAAATGACCTCCTGCTTTGGTACTAACTACTATCTCAATAATCAAATACTGAAAAATAAAAGTAAATTTAATCATTTAAAGCTAAAACAAACACATGCTGATGTTCTCGTCTTGACTGATATCAACAAAAATTTGAAAATCTATTTACAACTAAAGTCAATACAGCTTTGATATTTGAACTCTAAATGTATCCTTTTTCAACTTAAGTCAACCTGGAGAGATTATAAACATTAAACAACAGCTAATTCCACAAGAAGAGATCAGAAGCAACAGGCTACAGCAGAAAAAATGACAGAGATATGTGATATGATTGGGTAACCTGGAAATATATTGTCGACCACTAATTTCTGATCAGCTTAATTTGGGTAACGCTTCGCAGCGGAGGCGGATTCATCATGCTGGCAGGATTTGGGTTTACCAGTCGTCCAGCATCTTCAATGACACGAAACATGGTAACTTTGAGCACAATTTCTCTCATCCTGAGAAGCTCAAACACACAAACGTCGCCCTCCCCCAGATTATTCTCCAGGCAAAATTCATACCATCCCTGACTTAACTTGGCTCTACCAACTTTATAAAGACATCGGACCGGCCACTGTCTCCCATCAGGTGTCTGAAGTTTGATGAATCCTGAAACCCCACTTAGATTCTTTTCAGCAAAGCAAGATGGCAAATACTGTAAAAGTAGAGAGTGCAGACTACCATGTTAGTGCTCACATAATTCAATTATCAAACTTATATATAACAGTATCCCAAATACCTTACCATTATACAACCTCTGTATAGATAAGATGGTCGCAAGACGACCCTGCAGAAAGGATTAGCGGGCTCGAAAGCTTTTGCAGCATTGATAGCTCTTTCTCTCTCTTCTGCTGTCACGGTTCTCTTTCGAGCAGAGGCACTTTCATAAAATCTAAAGCGAATGTCTCCTAAATCTTCACTATGAGTAGATGGATGGTGCTCGCCTGCAGGTCATAAAATAATGAGTAAGCTAATTCAAAGATTTACGTTGCTAAAACATGAAAAGATGGGACAGGAGCTTACTAGAATCAATTTTTCGCTTTTTGCTTCCACTTTTTTTAACTCTGTGTACATCATCACCCAGATTCTGAAATCTCACCTCATCTGCAGATTTTTTAACCTCCACAGCACTAAACTGAACCCCAATATCTCGAGTAGATAAATATTCGGCCTGCAACGTACTTGCAGCTTTTGATTGGTGCAGATTCCATTCATCACCAAATAGCTTGTTTCGCAAAGAACCAGAATTCATGGACTGATTGGAAGGAATGCCTTCAGGAATGTCATAATCCTCCATTTCTTCGAAGATTCGGTTTTGAATGCTGTAATTATTCCTTTGGTTACCACCGAGAGCAGCAGATTGGTAGTTTATTTCAGATGTATTAAGATTAAACATAAAAACACAGAACGATGAGTTTCCCTCATATCTGAATACTAAGAAATACCCAACCCGTATAGAGTAATGCTCAAGAAATCCATGCCAACCATCTTCAAACCAAAATTTATTATCGGCTTTCCTCAACCCCACGCGCCAAACATGGCCGTCAGGAACAGTAAGTGTTGCAACAGCAGAAAGCTCATCCCTGATCATCCTGAGAAAAGTATCTGGGATTCTCTGCAAAAAGTATTGAATATAAAAACTTAGCTCCATCCCAACAAATAGAACACATCCGACAAGATGACTGCAGCGATACAACCATTCAACAAACAAAAATCAAAGGTAAGTGTTGCCTTATTGAAAAGGAAAATGGTAGAAGTAGAATGCTCATTTATGATTAAGAAACAAGGGGATTCTATACAGTGGCTAGTACAATGTGCGATACATTCTTAGCCAACAGAATAAATATTTTTCATAAGAGACAGATAAATTGTGTAACATGATGAACATGGACCAGGTAAAGCCAAATAAAAACAAATAATACCACAGACTATGTTATAGATAACAAATAATCCAAAA